AAAAAAAAAAAAAAAAGGTAAGAAAGATGAAAAAATATTTTCATTGAATGAATTTTAATTTTAGGAAAATATGTACCAAGTTTACTGATGATAATATTTATAGTTCAGAGCACCAATTTTGAGGTAAAAAACGTTGCCATAGACAGACCCCTGCTCATACATGTCAATATATTTTTAAATCAATAGACTTACAGGAAGAGATGATCCATCGACAGAAGAATCTTCCGGAGCAGGTTGAGGAGGAGGAGGAGATGGTTTTGTTTTACTAGTTAGAGGAGCACTGTTCCTACTACAAGCCATGCTCAGGGACCAGAGGTTCTTACAGGCAGGACTTTCACTTCCATCTTCCGTTTCCATGTCTGAAAATCATTTATATAGATGTTACTAAACACAAGATATAACAATTTATATACTTCAGGGTAGCCACAGAAAAAAAAAATAGTTGCTTTTTACTAAAAGTCATGAAAATAATTGCCTAAATAAGAACAAAAATTTATCAAAAACAGGACTAAAACTTTATTAAATGACTTAACTGCTTCCTTTGTCAATTAAAAAAAGATCAAATCAACAGTTATATTTTACTGATAAATACAAGGAACTAAAACAAAACATAACATATAAAAGTTCTAAATTGAAATTTTAAATTTTTTATGAGCAAAAAATATTTAATTTATCAGTTTACTATCCCAAATTTTCTCGGGCAAATGAAATAAGTTACCGTATATTCCGGCGCATAACGCGCACCCGTAATTTCTAATACATTTTTTAAATTTTAAGATATACTCTTCCCAAATGTAATTTTCCAATAGGTATATTTGTTCATGTCCACGAAAAAGGCTGGATGGACGAAAATGGTGTTAAATTGTGGGTAAAAAATGTCTGGCAAATCCATCCTGGTTGCGTAAGAAAACCAGAAAGCCTTTTAGTGTGGGACATGTTTCGGTCCCACCTTACAGATAATACAAAATAATTGTTGAAACTATGTAACACCGATATGGCAGTTATTCCGGGCGGATCGACACCATTAGTTCAGCCATTGGACGTCTGCTTAAACAAACCATTTAAAGCCAATTTAAAAAAACAGTGGAACACTTGGATGTTGGAGGGCGAGAAAACCTTTAATCTATAAATTTTGATATTCGGCGTATACCGCGAACCCGTAAATTCCAATGTTATTTTTTGTATTAAAAGTGCGCGTTATACGCCGGAATATACGGTAGATATTAGTCTTTGTATATGTTCACATCTTCATAATCTGAAAAGTCACCCGATCACGAACACTTTTTTTTTTTTTAAACTCTTTTTTCTATGTAAATTCATCAACCATCATATACACAAAAACACATCTGCAGTCCCAAACAAAAATGGGCAAACTTTCAACCACAGCAGACTAGTATTTTGCTTCCGACCAAGTAAAAGCGTGATGAAACAAAACATATTGACCAATTGTGCTATGCCCGAATTTGCAATATACCTTAGTTAACTCAGGATAATCAGGAAAACGGTTTATTGTCATATACCATATAGTCAAGTGAGAGGCCAATGGGATAATTTTTATATAAACGTATTATTTTATATCAAAACAATTAGTATATTTGTAAAAAAATAAATACTTTTAATTACTAGAATTCATTAAAAAAAAACCTTTCCTTTTAAATTCACACATCAAAATACAGTATTAAAATTTGGGTCCTTTACCGTATTAAAAATTGGGCTTGAAAAGATATTGAGAAACGAAATAGACTCACAATGGAACAGAGGTAATTAATTGCAAGCCAACTCAAAAATTTTGAAAATTTCTTGAGTAAAATCATTTCTGCATTTCAAAAAATTTATATCTTCATAAATTATATACAACATAATTTCAATTAATAATTACAAAGTTTACTTTTATTTCTAATCACATTTAATAATCTACCAGAAAAATATTTACAAGTGAAAGAGATGCCAAGTATAAAGTCTAGCTCAAATATTTTTAAATAAAATACACAAGAATTTTTATCCCTTAATATGATCAATGATTTTTTTAAACTTCTGTACCTTGGATTTCCGGAGCTCAATCATCTTTGATGGAATCTGTGCAAATTGTACAAATAAAAAAGGGGTAGCTCAAATTTGCTATAAAATTTAAAAAAAAAAAAAAAAAAAAAAAAAAAAAAAAAAAAAAAAAAGTTTAGTTTGATCAGAAGCTCCAACAGACTGCTGCAGGCATAAAAGTTTGGGAAACACTGGTCTACTGTATTAGTCCTGGACTGAACAGAAGTTACCCTCCTTGAAATGCACTATTCTTGTTTCCATAGCAGCAGACCACCTCAGACAGTGTGGTGGGGGAGTTCTTACTGTAGACAAATTATATATCGGTAAAAAATGGCATTACACACACAATTTAAGACGCTTTTTTAATTGCATCTCGAGAACTATTATTCCATTTTGAGATGTACGTTTTGTTTCCAAAATAACACAATTAAGATTTTGGGTTTTTGATGGTTTAATTCAATTTAAACAGAGGGAAGAACATCTTAAAGAATAGGAAATTAAATGAACATCCTATTTTTCACAATATTCAAGAAGTTAATTAATCACATTAAGTTCATTAGTAATAATTATTTTAAATACAGTCGGACTTCTATTTAATGGACTTTTTTTTTTCCTCGAGGAACTTCTAGAAACTTCTTAGAACATTTTAGAAACTTCTTAGCACGGAGGATGATATTCCTTTAGAAGAGCTTTGAAAAAAATGCGGGTATAGCTAAGGGAGAACCAAGAAATTAACAATGATTTTCTTTTTATTGATTCTAAAGCTGCAACTACAGAAACATTTTGATACTTAATCTGATTTTGATTATTTTGAACATAAATCAGATATTTTGGATATAGTGAAAAATAAAAATAAATTGTGATTAATACGAAGAAGGAAAACACCAAATCTTTTCATATGATCAATGAAAATCATCATTTGAAACAACTCGATCAATCATTTGAAACAACTCGATATCATCATTTCATCAAATCATTTGAAACAACTCGATAGTTTACAAGAACAGGTGTCAGTCCAGACATTTTGTGAAAGGTCCGTTTTTCGTGAAAAAATTACTCACATTCTTTCAACCAGGGTCCGCTTTTATGAATTTGCGCAAATAGGGTGCGTTATTGCAAAAAAAAAAAAAAAAAAAAAAAAACTTTTTCTAGGAGTTTTTAAATTGTAAAGACATACAAGATTATGCTCAACACTGTAAAATTACAATTAAAAAAAAATTAAATTTTAAAAAATAAACAACCATTGCTGCTTCTAAATTAGAGATGCAACATACAAATATTTGGTATTTAGCATATACTGCTGAAAGCAGAATATTAATTTGGGGCGAATAATGGAAGAATCGACATCCGAAGACAAAACTTAATTCGTTTACATCTATCTTTCTTGTTTTCTGCACTGGAAAGGGTTTATTCGATTAACAAAATAATAATGAAGATAAACAAATTTGTGAAGGATCCAATTAAAAAAAAAATCTTTTTGTGAAGGGCTCGTTTTTAAGTTAAAATATTTTGTGTTAACGGACCCAAATTTCTTCTAAACAGACCCCTGAAGAAAAAGGTGTAACAATCGCTATATCAATTATGTCTAGTGTTTATGAATCTAAAACCTGTTTTTTTGTTGTTAAAGTATTTCAAATGGCGAGTTTCGATTTAATGAACTTTTTATCGGGATTGAGCAACTTCGTTAAATAGAGGCCCAACTGTAATTGTAAATATCTACTTCAACTTCTACTGAATAACGGTATACTGATAGGTGTATGGGGTTCATTCAGTAGTGGATTGTCTTTTAAGCTTTATGCCACCCTGGCAATAAAGGTTCATAACTGTATTTCCAGTTTGGTTTCATTTTTATCTCATCTATAACTTTAAATATTTCATTCATACATTTTTTGTTCTCCACTTTATTCATAAAATACAGCTTTCATTAGCATATTGTTACTTTCAATCTTCACTATGAATTTAAAAGAATGAAGTATGATAAATTCTATGAATAGTAAAATAAGAATACCTTCATCCTTATCCACTTCATCATCTGAAAGATCACCACGAGGAACAGAGAAAAAGTCAGGAAAAAACTGCCTCATAAGCTGTTTGATTTTTGTCTTATCTTCCTTATGAATCCCTGTTAAAAAATAAAACAGTTAGATCATAACCACCAAAGATACACAAATACGGCAACTAGTAGTGCCCGTTCATCGAATTCTATAGCCGATAAAATTATTATGGCGTTACTACCACTACAATTATTGTACATCAATTCACTAGTATACAAGACATGCTAACTTGATTTAATCTCGGGGTACCTTCTGATAGACGATAGTCGACATTATTGATAACTTCTCTGCCGACAGTTAGTTTTGTTAAAGCTTGGGAACTTTAGTTGTCTTTCATAATAAGTGATATGATTTAGAAATATTTAATATTACTATGTATTTTATTCTTATTCAAAAATTATATTACTTTACCCATGAACCTTTTATCTTACCTTTTACTGCTAAATATATTGGTTCATAGGCAATCACACCATTGATTGGTCAATTTCAAGAAATTATGTTCCGTAAAAATGAGAGCTGCCATCAGTTTTAAATAATTTCTGATGAATCATAGCTTTCCCCCCCCCCTTCAAATTAATATAAATGTGATCATTCAAATTTTTCTTTCATGAAGAGGAAAAGAACTGTGTTTTAAGTAGTAAGAGTGTTTGATATCATATATTAAATTTTTTTTATCTGATCTCCATACCTAAATCCATCAATTTAGTTTAAATTTATGGAATGCACTGAATGAACATTATGCCCTGCGGCAGAATTTTTGTCACACTTTCTGCAAATAAAACTCTTTCGCACTAACATGTTTCTGCAAAATACTATTACTAATTTAAGATAACAAAAACACTGTTCTTACAAAAACAATATGTTTCTTTGATTCTAATATTACGGACAATATTCTCGTATTTTGTTAGGGGACACACACTAATTATTTAATTTAGAGCATTTTGCAAATCAACATATTAAAAAAATTAACACCATGAAATCTGTAGCAGTAAATACGGAAAAACAGATCAACGAAGAAATCACGCAAATCGGAGTCTTCAGAAAGGAGTTACTCAAATGTTTGTTCAGTTTCAAGATGCGATTGTTGTAATAAATAATATTGTATGGTTGGTGTTTTCTACACTAGGGAACGCTGCAAGCTCCATACCACATATACTTCCAGGTTACTGTTTTAGGTGTATTTTAAAGCCATTTGGGTCACAACATGGTATTTTGAGATTCTTGCAAACGTGGTATTTGATTACTTATGTTGACAATGGCAGGGGTGATTGTGAGCCCCAGTCGAAATTCCGGAGAATTTCTTAAGTAATAAATAAATAAATAAAAAAGTTTAAACCGAAAAATTAGAAAAATTTAAACAAGGTTTTTTCCTTTTTCTCAATATTTCCTAGTTTACTTAAAATATATTTAAAATTTTACACATACCTATGATGACCTGGAGAAGCAATTGAAATTTACAAATATGTCTTTCTTTCTTGAGTTTATGATTATAATAACTATTTACTGATAAAAAATGAATATTAATCTTGAATATAAGCTTATAAAGTAGCTCTCTTATAAACAAATAAAATAAACTGCGTTTTCAAGTTCCACCTTTGAAAATTTGATTTCCGAAATCTTTTGTGATCACCGATTTCTTTAAACCTTTGATCTCCGGAAACTTCTGGATCACGGTTAACGAAAAATCCGGATTTTTCCGGAGCACAATCAGCCCTGCAATGGTAACAATACTTGTGATTACGATGCTAATGGTGCTAACACTACATAAGATAGTGCACAGCTTGCAACAAGAATAAACAGTAATAAACAAATGGAAAGAGGCCAAATCAGGACTGCCAAAAAAGCAAGTTATTCAAAATCTAGCAACCATGTCACCTTTTTTAACAATATATTTATACATAACTAAAACACCAGAATTACTTAATAAGATTAATATCTTATTAAGTACGGTAGATTTCAGCTAAGAAATTATCCAATTTACCTCTTTTATTGAAAACAAAATTTTCCCTTGTAAAATATTGCCTCGCAGAATAAGCTGTAGTAAGCAGTTGCAAACTTTCTAACCAGAACTAGAGCAGATATTGATCTCTTGATTGTTATTGTTTACATTTACATTGAAAATACCATACATAAAAATCATCGGGAATTATAAACTATGCGGAAAACAAAAGCCAAAAAATTGATAGAATCTTTGCTGTAAAAAATAAATGATCTAACACGCAATTCGAATTTTCCACATCGCCTGAAATATAACAGCCACTTGAAAATCAATGTCAATAACTGCCGAAAATAGAATCAGAATGGATTTATGATATAGGCATAAATTGAGTGCTTCAAAAAAGTGATTATTTATTGCGCAATTCAAAATTTTTCATGAAAATTTCTGCTGAAAAGCAAATTAAAATTTCCCAAAAGAAAAATCTTTCTGCAAGAACTCTGTAAAGTTCTGCGACAATGTCAACGCAATTCTGCCACAAGGATATAAGGAATCCTTAGATGCATTAAAAAAATTTGCTATTAGCTTAAGTAGAAACAAAATTTGCTGCATAAAAATCAAATATACAGTTCTTATTTATTTTCAACTGCTTTTATAAAATCCAACTAAATCCATTTACCATTAGATGATAAGAGTGAATAATGAATTACCAGTTTGCCGTTTCACATGATGAATAATTAGGTTTGCAGCGTCTTTAAAGATATCTCTATTCTTGTAGGTGAGTACTAAGTGAGGACCTGCTGGAATGTCAATCATACTCTCATCAGCTTGTTCATGTCTCTGGAAGAAGAAAACACTTTCATTATTTACACACTTACAACCACCTTGTATCTTTAAATTGTCACGGAAGTGTTTGTATTAAAAACCTTTTTTCAATGAAGCAAAAATATTGCAACATCAAACCTTTTCATCTTAAAAATTATTTTTTTAAAGAAGAAGTACAGGGTATTTGCTACATTTCAAATCCATGACTTTTCATAAAAAATTCCAAGAATTTTTCATGATTATTTTCTCCTCAAAAACATACTGAATTAAAAAACGCATTATAATAACATTAATTTAAATGATAGGTATAACCAAAACTGTTAAACTCTACATTTTTATATTTATTGATTTTAAACTTAAAAAACAGAGTAAAAAAAAAGAGTTGAAGCAATAAAATAGCTGGAAAAAAATACGAAAGCAAATATAACTAAATACAGTCAGATATACGTAGTTATTTAAAGCTGTTTAATTTCTTCTTTAAAGAAAGTAATATAAAAAGCCTAAACTAGAATTTTAAATTGATAAAATAAAAAATTAAATAAATTCTGAAATCACAGAAGTTGAAAAGATATTTCGCTCTAGAAATGGTGTTTTTTTTTCTTTTTCTTCATTTTTTGAAAGAATACCATAATTTTTAAACAGGATAAAAACATTTTATATTTTAATAGAATATGACTATGATTGAGAATTTTGCTACAAATTTAGATATTTGGAACATCAAAGTATTATGAAATTGGGAGGGAGGGGGAGTAAATTCCATTTTAAAATTAAGATTTTTCGGCGACCTAAACCCATGACTTTCCATGATTTAAAAAAAAAAAAATAAATAAAAAAATAAAAAACAGAAATTAAAATTATGACATTTCATGGCAAATTTTGTTCAATACAGAAATACATGACTTTCCATGTGCGCGCAGATACCCTGAAAGTATTCTCACTTAGGTCCATCATGACGTTTCAGCTGACAAGCGATAGGATCAAATTGCATGACAAGGTGGATTTTAACTGAGAGTACAACACTTAGCGGAAAGAAACATTACCTAGATTTAAGTTTATTTTCACCTTGAGACTAGCTTTATTAAGATTTTTACACGCTTGAAAACCCCAAGTTAAACTCGATTTAAGGAAGGGTTCATATAGAAGGTGGCTCCCCAAGGTTTTGAATTAGAGTAATGTGCGTAGAAGGTCACAGATCTCGTTTTAAGATTAGATGGTTTAAACGTAAGCCGCATAACAAACCTTTTTAGATTTACATTAAAAGGTTTTTGCTGAGTGAAAATAAACCTCGTTTTGTTATCCGGGATACCTACTTCTTCATAGATTGTTTCAATTTCATTTAAGATGCTTTTTGATCTGAGAAACTTTACATCATTTTGCTTGAAGTTAATTCCTTGGTGGTCCAAAGATTTCAGGTAGTATTTTTCATTTTGCTCACGCCACGTTTTATTGAAAAGCTTCTGAGACTTTCGCCATTCTTCATCTTTAGATTTTAACCTGAATTTTGAAAATGAAAAAGGATTTTTAACATTGAAGCAACTTTTTGTTTTATGCATACTTTTATATATTTATAATTAAAAATAAATAAAATAAAAAATTACCGTCTTAAGACTAAAGGCACTGAATTAACTGGATTTTTCTTTAACCCTTCAATAATATCTGCTGATTTATCACCATAAATCCTGTAAAAATGAAGAAAACATACATAATTATATATACATACCATATCCTGTTAACTGGGAAAAGGATATTCCCCATAATTTGGTCAGGAGAATGAAGTCACTTTGAAAAATCCGAATTAACTACAACTAATTTAATTTATTAGTTAAAAATTTTAGTTGAGTATATGACAGAAAATTTCCAGCAGAAAGGTAATTCTATGGCATTTTTATAAATACCCAATGCCAAACCAGTCAACATGGGCAGTGGATTGTCTAGGTTTTTTTTAAAAGGCACCTATTTTGTGAAAATTTAGACATAATTAGTGAAAATAAAAAATAACATAGAAAATAATTTGTCGTAAATTTCTATAAATTTTCCCCAATATATTCAAAATTAATTTTGCTATTGTAAAATTTTGGGCTAAAAATTGTATCCAAATTTAAAAATCATTGTCCACAGTTAAATTTATTTCAATTTATTAAAAACATGTATTTAACAATATTAGCACTAAGTTATTGTCATTACGCGGACATTTTCAACTAGGCTGTACAGAAAAAAAATTTTCATTGCAAAATAAAGGTCAGTTAGAATAAATCTACAATAGTGTTTAAGAAAATGTTCGAATGTTTAGAATAATGTTCGAATTTCAATTTTCTGTCAAGTTTATAGAAGAAGAGCTTCGTCCTTTCATTAAAAGTTTTTTTTAAAAAAAATAATAGTTTTGATATGGTGTACGTAAACAGCCGGTTAAGCTTACCACATTTTGCACTAGCTGACCAAACACCAGTTACTTTTTCATAGACAGTTGGCAAAAAAGCTCCTCTTTTAGATTGCAACGAGAACAAGGTTAGCATGAGAACATGCTTTTTTAAAATTTTTTTTTTTAAAAAAAAGTATTTTGTGAAACTACTATTTTTTTTAGAAGGTACCGCTAAATGGTATCAAATTTACTCTGGACAGACCCCTGATGGGAGAAATAAAATAAAGGATATTTAACAAACTGACTCTTTACCACTTCTGATGTTCAACTCTGCAGCCTTGTATTTGTGAACCTGATCCAAAAGACAAGGAAAATCCTGGTACAAATATTAAAAGAATTTGCCTCTGTGGAGGACTTTTTGATGGAACTAACCCGCATACACCAAGAGGAAAACCACAAAAACCTCCCACTTTTAGCTCGACAACAAGGGGACTGTAATCCGCAATCGGTCTACTACTGAGGATATTTTACGCCAGCATTGTGGTCGGAGCAAGTCGGATGCGGAATTCGTATCGAACGGCCACCGCCAGGATGCAAATCTGTGCTCACCTCGTCGGAAGGCAAATGCTCTATCCTCCGAACCATCACGACTCGACTTAAGCAATCGACACTCAGAATAGTGTAGTACTGGCAATAGCACTATCTGTGACTAAGAGAAGTATTTTTGCCTTCAGTGGATTATTTTATAAATTTCTTCAAATACAGAGAAATTTGAGAATATACAAGTGAACAGGAAATAGTTGTAAAATACAGGAGACTTGGGAGGTATTCCATATAAAAATCAAAGAAAGTTTGTTACCTCCTTATCGCCCTCTGTTGGATGACATTTGAACTTCCACCCAATGTGTCATCCAGGCGATACCTTGCTTTTTCTTCAGCAGACATTCTGTTCATTTTCATCACTTCAGATTCAAGGTACCGAATGGTGGAGAGGTTTGTTTCAATCACAACATCTAGCTGTAGAAAACACACATTCAATAAATTACAATACAAAGAGGCAGAGGGAAGGGTGCGTAGCCAGACTTTTCAACAAAAAATAAGCACGTTTTAAGAACTCAAAAAAATATTTTTCATCCATCATTTCCACACACACAAAAAAAAAAAAAAAAAAAAAAAAAAAAAAAGAAAGAAAAGAAAGAATTTATTAACATTAATTAAATGAAGATCTAAAATATTTTCAAAAACTTTACATTATTATGATAAAATAACTAGTTTCTGATAAATATTGCAGAGAAAAATTGTAAAAATAATTCTGTTCTTGTAATTTAGAAGGACAATCAACAGGACAAAGAAAAATATCTTTTTAAAAGAAAATTAAGCACATTTTAAAAACCCTGAATAAAAAAAAGCACCCTTAAGGGCTTTTAAAATAATAACGTAAATAAAAAAAGCACTTTTTAAAAACACTACGCACTCTGGAAAGGAGGAAATGAATATATATTTACCTCAAATCGTTCATCTTCACAACGATATATATACTCTTCAAACTGTGTTTTTCGAGAGCTCACAAAAGTAGAATCCTCAGACCAAGAAGGAAATGACACCCAAGTATCGTTCAGAACCTGTGAACAGCGTAAGATAAAAACATAAATTATATTTTTGATAATAGAATAATTTTATTAAATATACAAAACTATTTATTCTTGACATTCACATTAATAGTTACATATAGAACTACATTCATATCGAGTAATTGTCATATTAAGTATTATTAGTGATTTCAAGTAATTTTGGCTCAAACCAAATTACAATCAAAGGCAATCATCCATTTCCATTGCAAAGTGATAGTTATGTTGTAAAAAATCAGCTGGACGTAGGCTCGACTGCTAAGCTTTGGACTAAAGTGGCAGTTATACAGGGTTGACACTCAAATCTGGGAAAAAAGTTCCCTGTGTTTTCCCTCAGAGATGCCGACTTGAAAATTATGATTTCAGTAATAATAAAGTTTTACCTCATAATTTTAATATTAAAGATTTAATGGTACTATAAATTAAAAATTAATAAGAATTAATTCATTATATAATAATTTAAATAATTAATATTCCAAAACTGTTCCGTTTAAAAAAAAGATCAAATTTGAGTTTAAGATTCACCTAAAAAGATACATAAATACATACTTGTATAATAGAACACAAAATAAGAAACTTCAATAAATTTTTATTTTTATTTATGTGATCTAATTATGTAAATCTAATTTAGTACTTTGCTTTGCAGCTCTTATCTTAGCATCAGAAAATTTCCTTTCAAACCACACTTTTTTTGTTCGTTAATGCTTTTGTTTTTTTCTATAAGAAGAGAAGACTAAGTTCCTATATTAGGCTGGGAATCATTGTGGTTTTTACGTACAATGCTAAATACTCTTTCTGTGTAGGCATTGCTGTGAGGTATCAGAAGTACTAGCAGCATCAACTTTGGCAAAACAGTAAATTTATTGACACCAGATCCATCAATTAATTTGGAAATTTCTTTCCATGCACTATCCATTCTAGTCAAATTTATAGTGGAAGCTGCGAATTCTTCCAATTTACAATATTCTTCATCCGAAAACATATGCCGGAATCTATCAGCAAAATATTGCACTGATGAAAAAGATACCCCTGTCTTTAAATGTATGTTAAGCTATTTCTGCATGTTTTAACATCTCATTGTCTAAAGGTAACTTTTCTTTGGATGTAGCAACAAGCTGCCTTGTAAAAATCAACATAAAATTTTCCAAGTTGAAAAATTATTTTCTGTTATAATATTTTCTGTTGTAAAAATATCAATGACCAAATCTTGATTCCTTTTCTGAAACTTTTTACTCTTAATGTCTATGTCCGAAACTGATTATGGTGGTTTAATAAATCTGGATTCCATGTAAAATATGAATAGCTGGATGCTGCAAGGTTACATTAACAAATAATGGTAATGTATTGCATAAACAATGAAGTTTTAGCATAGGGTTTTGAACTGTCGCCCTCAATGATTCACTTATAGCACAAAATTCTACCCATTGTTTGATTAATTGAATCCAGAAGTGATAACTTTATTTTATGTGGTTTCGTGCCAAACAATTCCTGCCACAATTTAAATCTTCCTCTCAGAGCTTTTATCCAGAGAATAAAGTATAACTGAATTAAAAATTGCTCCACATTGACTTGTTCTACTGTACCTTTCTTTGCTGCCAGACGAATATAATGACCGCTTTGAATAACAATATTTGGCTGCTCTTTATTAATGAATGAAACGAAACCTTTTAAATGACCTATCATTGTGTTGTCACAAGCAAAGGAAACACAGTTAGATATCCTTGTTTAAGACATCAAATATACCAGTATTATCACTGCATGGTAAAATGGAAAAGTAAACAGCATCTATTTTACTTGAAGATTCATCATAATAGGAAAGCACAACCGGATAAAGTTTTGTGTCATTTACATCATTACTTCCGTCATTTGCTGAAGAGAAGGGGCTTTGTTTTAAAATTTGAATTATGTATTCTTGAGAATGTTTTGCCATTGCTTTGATAATTTAAGAAGTTTTAGTTCTTGAAGAACTATATTTCTTAGCAATTTTAGAGTCGGGAAACATATTTTGAAATAATTAGCTTGCATGATAAGAACAGGAAATTGGCAAGTTATGCTCTATTATAAACGCAGAAAACAGCATTTCAGCTTTGGTAGCATCTGTATCTTGTGAACTCCGGAAATAACTTAAACTATCAAGTGAACTTGATTACTCTTAAAGTTAGAAAGTATCTTTGATTGAAAATGACGCCGATAATCATCACGGCTACCATGAGGAATCATAAAATCCGTAGAACATACGGTACAAAACAAGTGCCTTTCCGACACTTTTGATTTTATAAAGCACGGCCATTCCACGATGTATGCATCACGATAACACAGCGTTACTTTTGCCCTTTTTTTGCAAGACGGTCCATTTCATTGAGTGCTAGATTATTCACATATAATGGCTTTTTTGCTCTTTAAATCTTCCTAAAAAAAAAAAAAAAAAAAAAAAAAAAAAAAAAAAAAAAAAAAAAAAAAAGCATGGCAAAAAATTATTGTTTGTTTATGCTGCCAGTAAGTACCGCTTATTTCTGTGCTGTTGACACGACGGATCGGAAGCATGATGTCGTTGATACGAGAGCTAGAAGCGCTATGTTTAAAAGGAGCATTCTCACTGCGTCCAAAGACGCATTTCGGATCACTGTGTTATTAGTAATTTCAAATAATTTTGGTCCTTCGGGTCGACCGATATGATTCAATGAGAATGATTTTTAAAGGGAAAAATTATAGAATAAAATGAAACTTTTGGATGAGTTCAAAATTATTTTTCCGTAATTTTGGGGGAGTAGCCCGTAATAGTGTAATGTCATAAAATCCGTAATAATTATGATAAATCCGTAATAGTTGGCATCTCTGTTCCCTGTATATGCACTATATTAAGAGGAAACACACAATCACTCTGCATATTAGGATAACTAATACTAGTTTTAATTGCTGGAAAAACTTAAATAAAGATAAACATAGATTACAAAGGTCAATATTTTGTAAAAATCGAAATAAATATTCCCTGTAATTTCCCAGTTTAGAAGAAAAAATTCAAAATTATCTGTTATTTTATCTGATTTTTTTAATTCCTTACATTTTCTAGTTTTTTTCTGTAGAGTGGCAATCCTGTTATAACTTTTCTCTTTGGGAGCATCAATCACTGAATTTCTTCTATACATTGCATAAATCATAATTTAGCCACCTGCTTCATATTCCCCCACAATGTAAACGTGAGGTTATTATTTTTTTTAAAAATGTTACAATAAATATTACTAAAGTATCTGCAACATTCGATAATCATCACTAATGTATCTGTGTACAATGTGCGTCTATACTATCTATCTATGCCTTGGAATGGCAAAATGTAACGAAGACTGAATTTTTTCATATTTAATTTGTGTTATATTTTACTCCTCTACCTTTTAGTAAGTCTTAAAGAAATTCAGAATTCTTTTGAACAGGTTTTTACAGGGTGCATGGCCAAATCATCCAACAAAAAATTAAGCACCCTTTTAAAGCACTAAAAAAATATTTTCACTATATACATTAACAAAATGTAAAATAATTGTAATAAGACTTTACATGATCATGATAAAATACCTAGTTTCTAACAAAAAACTTTTTTCTTGATTACATTAGATATCCTAAAGAGATCAAGAGGTTGAAATGGATTGTGGTTGAATGAATTGTGAATATGTTAAACAGAACAATGTGAAAACCATGCTTTTGCATTATCCGCAGCGTAAATCAACCTTATTTTCGAAAAAGAAAAATTAAGCACTTTTTAAAATCACCCAATGAAAAAAGCACCTTTTAAAAACGTCACACACCCTTTTGCATCAATACTGAAGATCATTTTCATTGAAAAAAAAAACAGCTTTATCTCAATTTAATTGTAAACAATTCATATGAATAATATTTACTAAGACATACCTAAAGAGAAAAGGCGGATTCTTCTTTTATACGATTTTTGATAGAAAATTAAGCACTTTTAAAAAACACCCAATGAAAAAAGCACCTTTAAGGGCTTTAAAAAAAAGAAAAATAAACAGGTTTAAGCACTTTTTAAAAATGCTGAGCACCATGTTAATGCTGTATTTGTTTAATTATCTCTCTCTGCTGTATTTGTTTACTACTCTGATTATCCCGAGTTAAATCGGGCATAGCAGAATATGTCAATATGTTTTGTCTTACCACGTTTTTACTTGTCCGAAAGCAAAGCAAAAAATAATAATAATCCACTGTGATTGGAAGTTTATCAATTTTTGCTTGAGAATTTTGCTGTTTGTGGGACTGCAGACTAATTTTGTGCAATAGTATATGCGATGGTTGCTGAATTTACGTAGCAAAAAATAAAAAGGGTAAAAAAAAAAAAAAGGCGTTCGGAGCGAAAGTAAAGCAGGTGATTTTTCAGATTACGAAGATGTGAACGCATACAAAGACTAATATTTAACTTTTTTCATTTGCCCAAGATAATTTAGGATAGTAAACTGAGAACTAAGAAACAAGAGACAATCTCACCTCTCTACATAATCCTGTGCGACCACTGCACTTAGGCTGTACATAATTTCTTGGAACAGCTCTATAACTTGCTCCATACTTTATACAGGATGAGTAATCTGAAATGGAAACAATTAAATCCAACACAGTAATACTATTTAGGAATAAACATAAAGAAATTGTATAATAAAGAAACAATGTTATGTTATGAAAACAGGGTTTTAGACGTCCTAAATTGCTTTTGGACAGGACTCGTGGGTTTTATTGTCTTTAAGTGTCCAAAACCAGGAACTTTGATAAAAGGTAAAAATTCTGAAAGGTGTGACCATTGTACATAAAATTACATAGATTAATAAATATTTGATATTTTTTATACAATTTGCTTTCACTTATTAAAGGAAAATAATACATGATAGGAAAATATTTATAAGTTTTAAAGCTCCACAATTCATTGAACAAGAAAAGTGAATGAATACTCTACCCTTTAAATATGTTTTAAATACTGATAAATTATGTTTCTGCAAAAGGATAAATAATGCAATGTTAAATATAATAATTAATTTTTTTAATAAAACAAAAACTTGTCTTTATTTTGCTTCTTGTTCAAAAATTAACCTTTTATTCTTCACACTATTTTTTTAAAAAATATGACATAATTTTAATAAAAGGGTATTGGACAGTTTTGGGCAGGACAGTTTTAAACCAGGGATTAATCTATTCAGTCCCAAACTTTGCCAACGCTGCATTAAAAATATAACCATGGGTTCCACCCTAAAATAATTTCAAGAGTGAACTTGTTTTTACACCAATTATATAGGAAAAATTTTCAGAAATTTATTACTCATTTTTCATAAAAACGGCCATATTTTTCTTAAAAATAAAATTGTTTTTCTTTTTTTTTGGTTAGTTCATTTCTTAAATAGGAAACAAATATGACATCAAACATCTTTTTATGGCAATTACTGAACCACACTACTAATTTATTCATGGAACCATACATACCTCTACTTTTTATTAATTTCACAATTAATAATATTTTATCCTAGATCTATAGATTTCAATTCTTTAAAAAATTATTAATTTAATTTTGCCCAGCATCCAACAAGCTTGGGGGGGGGGGGGCAAAGAAAATTCAGATTCAATAATAAAAATTTTGTTTACATAAGCAGAGTTTAAGTTCAGTCAACAAAATAATTTCATAGGAGTGTGGACATCGATCATTTTGCAAATTTTTTACAAATATTTTTAATAATTTTGATACAAATTTAGAGCATCGGAACACTGTGAAATTGGGAGGTTCCATTTTAAAAATTAGATTTCTCGGCGACCTTAATCTTTTTTTTTTGAAAAAATAGTTAAAATCATGACATTACATGACAAATTTTTGTTCAATGCCAAAATTCATGACTTCATTTAAATTATTTTTTCTTTCTCTCTTAACAACTTAAATTCCTACCCTTCATAGCATCACAGTTTAAAGTTACACATCGCAACAAAATACGGTGGAAGAACGTCAAAAACCTAAATGGCAGTTTTTGGTACAAATTTATGCATGTACATACATGAATTATTAGTGAATGTAGCCTATTAAATACAATTGATTATGCTATATTTATTTCTTTATTTTTTTGTGATATCTTAGAGATGAAACAGTTAACATTAATTTTTAGGCTCATGATCAAATTAATTTTAAATCTAGATACGGAGTATCTGCTACATTTTAAATTTTGGACTTTAAATCCAGGACTTAATGAAGTTACTATTTTTTCCGACAAAAGCACAACAATAAATTTAAAAAAGCACAATAATAACATTAATTGAAGTGATAAGTATAACCCAAACAGTTATATTCTGCATCTTTATATTTATAGATTTTAAATTTAAAAAAAATAGAGTAAAGAAAGAGGAATAAAATAGCTGAAAAAATACAAAAGCAAATAATTTTTTCCCCCTTCTTTCAGCAGAATTATATTCTAAAGATACTTGGAAAGGAAAGATATTCTGATTTTTTTGTTCTTATTTCAGAATAAAAAATAAATAATAGCTGTGTTAAACGTACAGTTCATAAGAAGTAGCAAAATATGAATACAGACCTATTTCAGTTGCAAATTCTCCCACAACTCTTTCTTCTTTTTCCAATTTCTTAGGAACTATATCAAGAGTATTTGATTCTTTGTAACCCACAAAGTCTTTGAACCATTTAAATAATTCATTGTACTTTCTGAAAGAAGTAATTTCAATTAAACCTTTGCATTTGAAAGATAGACTGACAACAAATAACTATCTTTCGATAGGGTATAAAACATTACAAAGTCAGGAATTTTAAGAAAAACATTAATGATAGATTATTCTGAGCATTTTAATTACTTTACATAACTTATTCTTTTTACTACACTATACAACAATTCTATTTTACATAATTATTAAAATCCAAAATTACACAAAACAACAAAACTGTTCTTGCATGTAACTAAACATTTAAATGTATAATGCCGACATGTATAATGTCTTTCGTGCCGACTGTCACATGTACGTGCCAGCAAGAAACGCGATCACTTCCCGGCCGACACACTGCGAGTCAGAGAGTTTTCTCGTTCACCCCCAGCCGCCACATATTTGTGCCAGCGTTTCGGACATTTTAAAAAATAAAATTTCTTCCATAAGATGGCACTGTATGTCTATATGGTTTCAGATACATGTAGATTTGACCTTCTACTCAAGATGAAAGGACATTCACGTGGTTTTTAGGGGGAAGGAATGCTTTATGACACGTTGTATTTGTTTACAGTAAGCAGGGAAGGTTTTTTTTTGCTACTTTCGATTTAATTTTTAGTGGATAGTTAGATCTTGTAGATCCCTGTTTTAAAATTTTTCATGCGAAAAAAGAACTTTAAGTCATATATTTAGTTTTCAGATATGTAATGTCAAATGCTATTAAATGATTAGTACATAATGAAAATAAAATGTGTAAAATATATATTTAAACAAGAAATAACTTAAGTAAATAAAGTATCCATAGAAATATATATAAAGCATATGTCATTTAAATACTCTACAGAACAATATTAAACAATGCGTTGATATTTCGGCAATTTCATGGAATTAGGCTTAACAGCAAATAACCCTCCAACCTGGGAGAGACTGCCGGCCTCAGCGGTAAGTGCGCTTCCTGTCGCGAAAGGATCATAGACCACAAAACTAATTTCATAGCTGCCAACATGGATGGGGAAAAATCCAGTAGATTTTACAAAATACATCTGCTATATTTTAGATTTTCAAACTCATGACTTTGGGAATTCAATATTTTCTCCAACAAAAACACAACACTAAAGCATCATAATAACATTAATTGAAATTATAGGTGTAACCAAAACTGTTATACTCTGCATCTTCATATTTATAGATTTTTAATTTAAAAAACAGAGAAAATAAAGATTAGAAGCAATAAAATAGCTCAAAAGTAAATTTTCTTCTTTTTTCTGCAGAATTATATTCTAAAGATACTTTTCTTGTTCAAGGGAAAGGAAAGAAATACTTCTGATTTTTCTGTTCTCATTTCGGAATAAAAATAATTCGCCTGTCACTGGCTTGCTTTAGCTAGAATTTCAAATTGATAAAATAAAAAAATAAATAATAAAAATTCTGAAATCCCAGAAGTTTAAAAGATAATTTGCTCTAGAAATGATGTTTTTTCTTTTCAATTTTTGAAAGAACATAATTTTTAAAGTACACGATAAAAACATTTAATATTTTAATAAAATATGACTATGAGAGGGGACAGGGCTCGAAAAAACCGACAACGAATTTCTCAAATCCAACGTCCGCGCGGACAGCCATTTTCCCGTTAATGTTCATGATACATTTTCAATTTTTGTTAGCTTACAAGAGTCAAGCGCCTCACTTCTAAAATGACCATCTTTTATTACTGTATAATATAATCCTAGTAATAACTAATTCATTGTGCAATTTATATAAATGTTTGTAAAAAATAAGAAAAAATTATATTTTTATTTATTTAGAAGCTAAGGGTTAGTTTCAAAGGAGGACGGGTACATTGTTGGACAAGCCATATAGGGGACGGGTAAAATTTCTGAGTTATTTAGAGCCCTGAGTGGGGAGTTTGTTACCAATTCTGATATTAGAAACACCAAGAAATTGGGGGAGGGGAAAATTCCAGTTTAATAATTAGATTTTTTGGCGACCTATATTCATGACTTTCCACAACTTTCTTTCTATTTGATATTACAACCATATGAACGACTCACGACATTGGATTTTAAACTCGCATGAGTATGAATCGCTACATAGGTTTTTAAAACGTGTAAATACAAATTGCGATAATAAAAATCGCAACGGGCAACTTTTAAATCACGTAAATACGAAAAGCTATGTTTAATATTAAAATCGCGTGAATAAGAATTGAGATATTAGCAGATTCTGGACTTGGGACATCTAAAGGGCTTGTTTGAAGAATTATCTGGCAGGAGGGTAAAAATGCGAAAAATCTTATCTTCTGAGCGTAAAATTGGAGAAAACAGATACAATTAGTAAAAATGCGGAAAGGTTAGCAGGTATATAGTTTGAAATTTATCTTTGAAAATATAATTAATTTATTTCAACGGCTGAATATTCTGCAAAAGCGGAATATTTATTTAAAAAAAGGTGAAATTTTTAGAAAATCAAAGTTTTCGATAAAAAGGCCGAAATTCGAGAGACAAAAATAAAAAAGCTGAAATCAGCTAAGAAGCGGAAATTTCTCATCCCTGATTGTTGCAAAATGTACTAAATATATTTTACACATGGGAAATTTCAGGGATTTTTATAGCCATCAAAATAGAAAAACAGCAATAGTTTTTTTTGGTCATGATTAGGACTGGGCGTTATTAGAAATTATATATTGTGATATATCGTCAGTTTTGCATCGCGATATAGCGATGTATCGCGATATAGTATTTTTGAATTTCATTTACTTTAAGGAGGGCTTTCCTCTCCATGTATCAAGACTTCATACGCATATTGATTTAAATCAATTTATAAATTTGAAAATATATATGTTTTGCTAAAGAAAGATATTAAATAAATTGACTAAGATGTACAAATCTTACTTAAAATATTTATTGAAAAAATGTGTGTAGATACAGAATGAAATATTTGCACTTCTTTATCGTTTATAAGGTATAAGCAGTCTTAATTTAAGTTAACCCCTAAAACACCCTTAATGAAAAAAAATATTGTTATTAAACAAAAGCTGATTTTAAAATTTCAAAATATATTTTAATTAAAATAAAAGTTAGATTGACTAAAAGCCGAAGTTTAAAATTAAAAATGTTCGAATTTTAAACTAAAAAGTAAACATAAGATTTGTAATAATTTCTTAAAATTTTCGTTCTCTGAAAGATTTCTCAGTTTAAAAATAAAAAGGGAATTTTATAAAGATATCTAGCTGAAATTATTGAAAGAAAATTTAAAAAATTAAAAAAAAAGTTTGTTAAGAAATTCATTATACACTTAAAACAAAGTGTTAAAAATATTTTTTTTTTTTAAAAAAAAAAACTTTTTTTAACAAATCAATATTTGCTTGTACTATTATGCGTAAATAATTACAGAATTATTAAGTTCGATCGTAATGTTCAAATTCTTAATGAAGAAGTAAACACAAGTTTTGTTATATTTTCTAAAAATGATCACGCAAATAACAAAAGATTTCTTAGTTTAAAAATAAAAAAATAAATAAAAGTGAAATTTATCAATATATTTACCTAACAGCATAGGAACAAAATTTAAAAAATAAGTTCGTTAAAAAATTATTTGTATGCTTAAAACAAAGAGCTAAATAAATTTTAGAAAAAAAATGCTTCTTAAACACTATTTTTATTATTATTTCATATAAATAATTAAATTAAATTAAATAATGACCGAATTATGAACGAAAAACAAAGTAAGGCAAAGTTTCTTAATTAAATTCTTAAAAATAAAAACAAAAGAATTGTGATATTCGGTAATATATTTAGCTAATTAACTAATAATATAAAACGAAAATTAAAAAAAAATAATGATTTTACTCTCTAATAAAACGAAGTAGTAATTGATAAAAAAAAAAAAAAAAAATAATGAATAAAATTCGCAAACTTTTCAAATTCTTTTGAACAAATAAAGTTTATTGACTTATGTCCAAAAAATAAGTTTTGTTTTAACTTTATTTCTAAAAATAAAAACAACTCAAGATTTATAAATTTAAAATCAGTAATAGAAGCCCATTAAATTATTAGAAGTTTTATCCGAAAGGTTTTTAATAAATTAAAAGAAAGTAAAAAAATAACCTAACAAATTTATTTACTTTGTAATTTAATTCCTTATGGGTGCCTTAAATTAGATTTCCGATAATTTTCACATTTAAAAATATAAAAAAAGTTTTGTCAGAAAATAAATAAAAAACTTACCTAATTAATGAAGAAACTTTTCTTTATAAATTCTTTTCAATAATAGATTGCGTTCAGAACAAGGTTACGACGGCGATCACGAAGTTAATCCCATTGAAAATAATCTACAAGAAACGATTTCAAATCGCGAAGGTGCGAAAACGAACATGTGATATAACGATATAAGGTCTCAAAAGTGATTCTGATTCTACCGCTCATCAGTCAAGGTGGTCAAGGCCGTCTCAACAAAACGAAACAATATCGTCTTCCACAGCGCGAGTTGGCATCGGAACGTAAGAGAAAGTCCTTGCGTGTATCGCTATATCGTTTTCTTCACTCGACGGCTTAAATCAGATTTCTGATGCATCGCTTGGAATGAAAGTTGCTGTATCGTTTTGCCGATATAGGCGTTAAATCGATATGTCGCGATATATCGATTTATAGCCCAGTCCTAGTCATGATTAACATTAAATGAACTTGAAATGTTACGTATTATGTTGAATCTTTTGGAATAGTAATACACATTTAATTCATCAAAGATAGTTATAAGATATTTAATCAACTAAAAAAGGGAGTTCTGATTAAAAATAAACTCCAGATTTTAGAATAAAAAAGTTTTAAACTGATTTTCATAAATAAGGCTCTCTTAGTTATGTATAAATAACACTAATTTAAATATTCAAGTAAGTAATAATCTGTACAAAAATTCCATTAACAGGGATTTATTTAGGAAACTTACTCAATTTTAGGGAATTTTTAATTATGTGCAAAATCCAGAATTTTTATTAAACCAGTAGATCAGGAAGAACTGGAAAAATCCAATAGAGTTGGCAGGTATGTTATTTCCTCCTTTAAAAATTTATAATTACTGCAACTTTTTTTACCTCAATTCTACATAGTTATAGGAAGCAATAAAATTAAGAACCATATAAATTAATTAAAAAAAAAGACAATCAAACATACACGTATAATAGGAGACAAAACTAATAAAAAATAGATAAACAGGTATTGCTTCAAAACAGATCATTTTTATATCTTGTGACAATCACGCATAAGTAGGTGGAAACAATCTAATTACAGCAAATAATACAGGTTTACCCACTCAATTTTAATTTCAAACTAAAGGACTTTTCAAGGACCTATGTAGGAGGGGAACCTGCTTTTTTTGTAGGAAATATTATTTTGAAAAAATGACTCAGGGAAAATCAAAAACTTTTTAAGGAACCTATCACTAAATTCAAGGACTTTTTGGTGACCTCATTTCTCCCAACACAATTCAAGGATTTTCAAGTACTGTGGGAACCCTGTAATACATAATACTCAACAAATTCTGAAACTCAATAATTCGCAAACTAATTGCAGATCAAGGTTACGAGAAAGTTTTTGCATAAACTCATAGGGGTAAAAAAACAAACAAACTGAAATTGAAAAATCACTTTGACTTACGAGAGGAATGGAGTGACCACCAGGACGAGATCAGTCCTCGATATTAGTTCTTGATTGTAAATTATTAAACATCTCAAAAAGTTATCATAAACATCTTGACTCTTAAGAGCTTTACGGACCTAGAAAAAAAATTTTCAACACTTACAAAAATATATGTTAAAGTAACAAATAATGTTACTCCCAAAACATGAAATTTTATACACTGACATCTAATAAGACATGGGAAATATTTTCAATCATTATGTTGTTTAGGATATTGACAAAAGATAACCTATGTTTCCCTTAATCTAGGTTTTTCAAATCCTTCATTACTGTAAATATTTTTGGGAAGGAATAAATAGTAACAGGAAAAAATGTATCATTACTGATACTAGAGTGGAAAATATTAACACATACTGAAGTGACGTATAAAGATTTTTTTGAGCGATTCAAATCATTTGAGCAGACTTTCGGCCAAATGCACCATTTCAATAAATATTTTTTATTAACACTGTTATGTATATTCTCCACTAATTTTATTTTTCTGCTATTGTCAAGTGTTCTTAAGACACCCAAAAATTAATAAAAATTCAATTGGAGTAAACACTTTTATTCTGTTGAGAACTATAAATTTTTTCTTTTTCTTAAAATTAATTCTTAATATTTTCTTCTTTCTTTGTAGAGGACTTTTTAATGGAAATAACTTTCATTTGTGCTATATGGAGAGGAAAACCGCAAGATCTTCCACAGGTAGTCTGACGGAAAAGGGACTCTAAGCCATGATCCGTCTAACACTGAGGATATTTTATGTCCGCACTAACTATGGTCAGTGTGAGTCGGGTGTGGAATTTGTATCGACTAGCCACTGCTGGGATTCGAACCCAGTTTCTTTCATTGGGAGGCAAACGATCTATCCCCTTAGCCATCACGGAACAATTAACACTGAGCAGACTGCAGCACTGGCATTAGAACTAAGAATAAGAATTATTTTTGCTATCACTGGATCAGGCGCAGTTGTTACACAAACTGAAAAATCCTGAATTTTTTTTGTTAAAACTTGATAAGATATCAATTTATATGAATTCACAGGTAATATAATTTTATTATAATTAAATTACTAATCACTAAAGAATATCACACTTTTATAGTTACTATTTTAAGAAAAAACTCAGGTCTTTCAAGAAACACGATATAGGAATTAAAAATCATAGATTTTAAGAATGAGAAAATACAAATCGCATTACTGAATTTTTTAACTGCGTAAATACAAATTGCAATGCAAACGGTTTTTTAAATTCAGTGAATACGAATCGTGACATCGGATTTCAAACTCGCTATAATATGAATCGTGATGTATGATTTTCAAATCATATATATAATTAACAATAAATAACTTTTAAGTTAGGTAAATATGAAAAATCAATGTCAGATATTAAAATTGTGTGAATAAGAGTCTCGATATTAAAGGATTCCTATGTAGTTTCAAACCTTCAAAACTGTGAAGATCCGACAAATCAAAAAATTATAATTGTGGAAGTGTCACACGATTGAAAACTAACAAGATTCAGTGGACGTTTCAAAATTAAAATGCTAGATTGCAGAACTTAATTCCTACTCTAAATCTCAGTGAAAATTTTGTCGGATTATAGGTTGATTCGTGGAAGTCCGCAAATCAATGGTCTACAGAGGCGTGGAAATCTGCCGCCTTGCTACTAATTTCCAGACCTGGAGGGATACGAAAAATCACCTCTGGTGGACATTTTATCGCCAATTTCCCCCCCTTTTAATTCCTTCAACAAATAAGGAGAAATTTGAGAATATACAGGTAAACAAAAGGTAGTCTTTGTTAAAAAAAAACAAACAAACAGGAGACTTGGCAGGTATGGAGATGTGGCTTAAAACAAAAATCCACTAGGAATTCAGCCAGGATGATTTTAAGAAAACACTCTTTGCCCGAATATTTTAAAGCATATTAATTTTGCATTTATCATCAAATAAAATTCATACTAACCTTATCAAAGAAGGCATATTCAGTCAGAGATGTGAATTTATTCGCTTCCGCCATACTGACATCTTTTAAGCTTGTCATTCTTGATTTCTAAAAATCCCAAATAGAATTATTACAAATGTGGTAGAACAAAGTTTTCATTTGACAAATGATTTTAATCTACTTTTTAGACAGTTAATAAATATTTTTTAGATATATATAGAAGGATGAGTATAAATTAAAAAGAATTAATGCAGAATACATGTGAATCATATTTTCATGAAATTCGGCATAAATGACACACAATAACTCTGCTACAAGGTAAAAAGCAGTTAATATGCATTTATCACTATAATTTTGTTCACATAGCTGCCAACATGAATAGGAAATATCCAGTATATTTTAAAGAGATTTCCTCATAATTGTTGCACAATATATTAAATATTTTACATATTGGGAATTTTATAGTATTCAAAATAGAATTTTTTTTATTACAGTTAACACTATAAATGGTCTGCAATATTTCCCATTTATGATTGACATTAAATGTACTTAAGTTTTAAATATCTTTTACTACGTTATAAACACTTATAATTTTGAAGACCACTAAAAAAGTAATTTATTATTGATATGTAAAAGATTTTTTTTAATTAGTATAAAAAGAGAATTCTGAACAAAAATGAAAATTTTAGAACAAAAAAAATTTAAATAAGCTTTAAACTGATTATTATAAATGAGGCTCTCCTCATTAAGCATTAGCAATATTTATTTAAATATTCAATCATGCGTAAAAATTCTATTTCAATAGGGATTTTTTTTAAGGAATTTACTCAGTTTTAGGGAATTTTCTAAAATATGCAAAAACCTTGAGAATTTTCATTAAACCAGTAGAAACTGGCAAAATTCAGTGGAGTTGGCAGCTATGCTTTCAATATTACAGATTATTATTTTTTTTAAATAAAAATTAATTTTGAAAATAAATAATGACTACAGTAGCAGCAAACTTTTACTTGTTTATTCAAATCATATATAATGAAATTAAAAAAATTTCATTGCATTAGAACCTAGGAAATAATTTAATTATTGATCTTAAAATATAAAATCTGAAATAAGTACATAAAAAAAGAAAGAGTTTACCTTAATTGGAGGGGATGGTAACTGAGGAGCAGGACGTTTGACAACTTGAACTGGTTTAGGCTGATTATTGAGAGGTGGCTTTAATGGCAAGGAAGGTTTCTTCACAACAGATGAATCATTATTACTTAAAGACTTTACAGGGGGCTAAAAATAATGGATAATACATATAAATAATGGATTATATAAGGTGAGCAGCCTAATCTTTAAATGAAAAAATAAGTACTTTTTCAGGGGTCTGTTCAGGAGAAATTTGGATCAGTTAATGGACCCTTCACTAAATACCTTTTCATAAAAACGGACCCTTCGCAAAATAATTTATCTTTTAATCAGACCCTTCATAAATTTGTTTATCTTCATTATTGTTTTGTTAATTGAATAAATCCTTCCCGGGGGGAGGGGGAAGAAAGACGGTTAACAATTTTACAAAAAAAGGAACTTTTACATTATCTCTGGACAGACCCTAAGCATTCAAAAAATATGTGTACGCACTATAAACAATAACAAAATAATTTTCAAAGAATTTACGTAATCATGATAAAATTACTAGTTTCTGACACAGAGAACGCTTTTCTTAATTATATTAGCCAAAATAAAAGAAAGATTTTTCGGTTTGATATCAGGTTGTGGAAGTCTGATATTGAGAATATCTTGCAAAATGCAGCACATGAGAGGGCAATAATCTCATTGAATCCAAGCAAAGTATTTCATCCAACATGTGAACATACACTATGAAGGGGAATTGTGAGTCTAACTCAAAATATCCTGAAAATTTCTTGAGTAAAATTATTCATAAAGCATTTCAAAAAATTAATGTCTTCATAAATTTAAATCATTGATATTTTCAAAACATGAAATTCTAAATAAATTATATGCAAGATAATTTAAATGAATAATTATGTATAAGTTTATCTCGAATCACATTTATTATTCTACAAGACAAAATATTTACAAATGAAATAGATGGCAAGTATAAATTCTAGTTCCAATATCTTTAAATAAATACAAAAATTTTTATATATAAATGTCATCCATGATATCTCGAAACTTCTGCACCCTGGGATTTCCGTAAACTAGGGGATCACGGTCATCGATAAATCCGGAAACCCGGATTTTTTTTCCTGGTGCACAATCACCGCTGGCTATGAACTGACGGTATGCAGAAATGGATTGTGGTCGAATAAATTGTGAAAAGGGTTAATAGAACAATGCGAAAAAAATAATCTCATTGTCGAAGAGGGAGAATTGAGCATTTTAAAAACACCCAATAAAAAAGCACCTTTTAGAAATAGAAAATCAAAAATAAGCCCTTTTTAAAAACATGTTAAATATTATTGTAGTAAAAGAAAGGGGAACTTACTAAGCCAACAAATGCATTTGCAGCACCATTTGCATCAGGCAAAAACTGGCCAAACTCTTGCAGCAGGTCTTCTTGGTTTTTGAACAAATTGGCAACTTGAGAATATACTTCACCTTCAGTTAAAGGTTTCACTGATGACAATTGTCCCTAATTAAATAAAAACAAAAAAAATAAGCACCTTTTCAAACCCTCAAAAAATATTTTCAAATCACTTTCCAAAAAAAAAAAAAAAAAAAAAAAAAAAAAAAAAAAAAAAAAAAAAACATAATTAGGATCTGTGCAGCAAAAATTTTTTGTTTTGTTGATAGTTTAAAGCAGTACCCTTCTCGTGATAATGTCGTAATAACACCATATTAAAAATATAGAGTTAAAAAATCCGAAGGGAAATGGCTGAAAAAACTATTCGTCATGCCCAAAACACTATTCATAGCTGCCAACATGGATAGGAAAAAATCCTGAAAAAAACTAAATATCTTACACATAGGGAATTTTTACAGTCAACAAAATAGAAAAATTTCAATATTTTCCTGTTATGACTGACATTAAATACACTTCAAATGTTATGTATTATGTTTACTCATAATTTCAAATATTTATAGGCATTGAATTCATCAAAGATAGTTAAAAGACTAAGAACTGAATAAAAATAAACTGAACAATCTTAGAACAAAAAAGTTTGGAACTGATTTCTTCATTATGCATTAGTAATACTTATTTAAATATTCAAGCAAGCAATAATATGTACAAAAATTATATTGCAATGGAGATTTTGTTGTTGAAAACTTACTCAATTTTAGGGAATTTTCTAAAATATACAAAAATCAGGAGAATTTTAATTAAACTAGTAGAAACTGGCAAAATCCAGTAGAGTAGGCAGCTATGACTATGTTACTACAGCTATTGAAAAAAAAAAAAAAAATCCCCCACTTTAAAATGTTGAGGCGTTTAATCAGGTTCATGGGGCATGCAGACCCACGAACCCAGCCTGGAAAGAATCCTAGTGTCATATAATTAATGCATGCTCAGTTTCTAGATAGATATAATGTTGCATTAAATGATGATTACTTACATCTTTAATATTTCTTTGCTCTTTCTGATATGTATGAAGAATTTCAAGAAATTGTTTATAGATGTCTGGTTGCCCTTGAAAACGATTCTGAAAGAGAAAACCATGAGCAACGAGTCACTAAAATAATAACTTAATAAGATAATTAAAAGAATTACCTTTATTTTATTCACATAGTTGATAGCATGGTTAAATTCCACAGGCTGACTTTGTTGTTGTTGAGGTGGGGCAGTAGCAGTATTATTATTATTATTATTAGGGCTACCAGCAGGAGATGGTTGAGAATGAGCAGGAGAACTCTGGTTAAAAACATGTTGATTTTGTGAATTTGAATGAGACTGATTATTCACAACTGGTAGAGGATGAGATGCCTATATAAAGGATTGGAATGAATATACAGCTGCTTAAATCAATAACAAGCGTGGAAATTTTCAAAACTATTTATTATTAATTACAGGGTTGCCACTCAAATCTGGAAAAAAAATTCCATGCGTTTTCCTTGTACATAATTATACACAATATATTAAGAGAAAACAACAATTACTGTGCACTTGTGTGAGCTATAGTGGGCTAACTTTGCTGGAAAAACAGCTGTAGTAACTTAAATAATGCTGTAGTAAATGAAATAGTTTATTATAGCTGAAATATTATGGTTAAATATGCCACAGATTTAGCTTTAGTGGTCATCGTTTTTTAAGAGAAAAATAAACAAAATTCCCAGTTTGGAAAGATAAAAAATAAATATTCTCTGTTATATTAGGTGATTTTTAAATTCCCAGTATTTTCCAGGTTTTTCCTGTGGAGTGGCAACCCTGTGTATACAGTTAATGTTTACTAAATTCAAATAATCACAATTTTAAGGTTCATGTTGTTGTTGTTTCTTATCCTCCAATTGTCAGACAAGATCCAATAGGTTGTTGACCCTCAAAAAGTCGATGACAAGAAGTGGAGTAGCGTACAAGTCCTCCTTGGAAAGGCCCAAGCAGTCAAGGATATGTTCGGCAGAGGATTGCTGGGCTTCACATTTGGAGCAGACTGCATAGGTCTTTCTTCCTTCAAAGTACGAGAGACTATTCGTGTGTCCACTTGCCAATCTGGCAATTGCTGTTTGAGACGCTCTATCACCTATATGAACAAGTGAACCAGTTCCATGGCCACATATCAGTTATGAGAGGGGAGGATCCACCACTTTTTTGATAGATGGCTTTTGATTTTGGGCTGATTCTCTGAGTAGGTAAGGGCTGAGGACGAAGGTGTTGAATGACTACAGCCCTCCTTGGCCAAGCGATCCTTCGTTCACGTTAATTCGATAAATTATGCATGATTTCACTGTTAATTTTTTCTATTTTTAAAAGTAACACACTGATAAAGGTATTAGTTTAAAAGTTATATAAAACTGAAATTTAAAAAAATTAAACTAATTGCTTAAAATGAATGTTTAAATTAGAACAAGCCTTCTACCGCTTTTCTATCGTCCTGTAATTGAACCACTTAAATTTTTGTTGACAGCACCTCAAATTTGAATTTATGTTCTTTTTCATAAATGGAGAAAGATTAATAGCTATGGGGAATAGATTTCTTTGCTTTTTATTTTTTGATTCTATCAAATTTGTATCTATTTTTTATTTTTTGTTCTTTGAACTGCTTAAGAAGTATACAAGAATTCATTTTCAACAGATTATTAACCACTTCCTTTACCAATTTCTTTGAGAAAAAAAATGCTAAAAATCAACATATATTTTATTTCATTAATAAATACAGAGAACTAAAATTAAACCTAATACACAAATTTTAGAATGAAATTTTAATTTTTTCAACTTCCAAACACAACAGATTATTATTCTTTGCTTCCGACCGTGTAAAAACGTGATAAAACAAGACATACTGACAATACCAGAGTTTTCTCAGGATAATAAAAGATAGTAGTACCTTATTTACAGTGATAGTAGGAGGAGGTGGAGGTGAGTTGTGGTTTGTTTGCGTGCTGTGTGTTGTTGGATGTTGTTGTACAACAGTAGTACTTGGAGGACCAGTGGGATGAATAGTTAATGAAGTGACAGCAGCGCCCATACTCGTTCCTGGTATGCTCACTTGGACCTGCTCATTAGGCTGAACTTCAATTCTGTAACCAGGTGGCAAGAAGGTATTAAAACCCACAATAAGCTCCGGGTGACCTCTGAACAGGTTGGACACTCTCTGGATAACTCCAGGAGTATCAATGCTACAAAAAAAAAACAGAAATTATATTCTTAAGTCGAACTCGTTAATCAAATCTGTTGCATGGAAATAGAAAAAAATCCAGTTGATTTTACAAAATAACATAAATTTCGTGACAATTGTTGCATAATGTACTCAGAGGTCTGTCTAGTTTTTTCTGAGTACCTATTTTGCAAAAATTTAGACATAATTTGCGAAAATTATAAGCTATATTTAAAAATCAACACAAAAATATGGATTAACGTTTCTTACGGGATACAAAAATAAAATTTTAAGATACAGTATTTTTTTTAAACTACTGTACCTGAACTTGAATTTGAGAAGGTACCGCAAAATGGTAGTAAATTTGGCCAGGACAGACCCTTGGTACTAAATATTTTACACAATTTTAGGGATTTTAATAGTTATCAGAATAGAAAAACTGAAATATTTTCCAGTTATAATAAATATTAAACATACTCGAAATGTTACGTACTATGTTTACTCATAATTTCGAATAGTAATAGGCATTTATTCCAAAGATAGTTAAAAAAAATTTTTTAAATTAATTTAAAATGAGAGTTCGCAATTAAAGTAAACTGAGCATTTTTGAAAAGTAAGAAAAAAAAGTTTTAGACTGATTTCTATATATGACATTCGATTTTTTATATATTAGTAATACTTATTTAAATATTTAAGCAATAATCTGTACACAAATTCTATTTCAATAGGGAGTTTTTGTCTTTAGGAAACTTACTCAATTTTAAGGGATTTTCGAAAATGTACAAAACCCAGGAGAATTAAACCAGTAGACCAGGAGAAACTGGCAAAATCCAGTAGAAATGGCAGCTATGAAGTTATTAAATTTTTATTATGTCATGTTAGAAAACCTAATTTATTCTTATCTGAATTTATGTAACAATAAAATTCACCTGTTGTAGACAAGGTTGGCAAGTTTCTGCCGAGGTGGTTAAAACCACTGGTAGAAACCGGTAAAACTGGCACGGCAGAAATTCAGAAAATGACATAAAAGTAAGTACTGAGGTTGACATACAATGGATAATTCATAAGAAAAACAATTAAATGTTAAACAAAGTACAATTTATTTACAAAATTATCACCATTCAAAACTATATATTACATTGTTGGCACTTTGCAGTAATCTATAACAAAAGACTTTGTTTCAAAAATTAAAATTCTTTAAGACTATTACGATTTTTTATAATGTGTGTGACTTTTTTAAGAAACGATGTAAAACTCTACATTGATTTTTATCAATACCAGCATGCTTGTTATCAAATCAGGGTATCTGCTACATTTTAGATTTTCAAATCCATGACTTTCCATAACTAGTTCCAAGAAGGAAGTTACTATTTTCGCCAACAAAAACACAACAATAGATTTAAAAAAGCATTATAATAGCATTAATTAAAACGACTGCTATACTCTGCATCTTCATATTTATAGATTTTAAATTTAAAAAACAGAGTAAAAAAGAGATGAAGCAATAAAACAGCTGAAAAGAATAGATTTTTTTTTTCTTCCCTGTTCTCATTTTGGTATTTAAAAAAAAAAATCACTAATGACTGGCTTGCTTCAGCTAGAATTTTAAATTGACAAATAAATAAAAAAAAATCATAACAAAATTCCTGAAATTACAGGAAGTTCAAAAGATAATTCGGTCTAGAAATGATGTTTTTTCTTTCATTTTTTGAAAGAACACCATAATTTTTAAAGAACATGATAAAAAATTTTATATTTTAATAAAATATGACTGTGAGTGGAGATATTGTTACAAATTCAGATATTCGGAACACAGGGGTGTAAGTTTCATATTAAAAATTAGATTCTTTGGCGACCTAAATCAATGACTTTTTTTTAAAAAAATATTTAAAATCATGACAAATTTGGTTGAATATCGAAATCTATGACTTTCGAGGTGAGTAGATACCCTGTCAAAAATAATGACATAATTGCAAGAAAAGCACAGATGTGCTAAGTAGAGAAAGAAATTCTCATATCAATCTTTGCAAGATATATCTGTGGGTTGAGAATTTTGAAGAGTTCTTTTATTAATGAGTAATACAGTAGGGAACCGATTATCCGCAACGATCGGGAACATCGCTATTCCGGATAACTGATTTTTCCGGTTTTCTGAATCGCTACAAAAAGCCGTTTTTTTTATCGTTAAACCCAACTAAAAAAAATTTTTTTTTGTGGAAATAATCTTAAAAAGAAGAAAAAACAATGGAGCAATACACTAATGATTATTTCCAAATGATGGTAAGGTAAACATCTTTCAAAAATGAAAGAAAAATCCTAAAATCTTATGAGGAAAAAAATATATTTTTTTTAAATGGCGGTAAAATTTATCTAATTTCGTTCCGGTTTTTTGGTTTTCCGATTTCCGGATAACGGGTTCTGTACTGTACAAACTTCTTTCTCTCAACGTTTAAAAATATTGAATGTGAATAATATAGCGAAATTTGACAGTTCTTTAAGGGCTCATAGCCAAATCTTTCAACAAAAAATAAGCACTTTGTAAGTAATTTTGAATCACCCAAAAAATATTTTTTAACACTATATACTTTAACAAAATGTGAAATAACTTTATGTGATCAGGATAGAATAACTAGTTTCTTACAAAGAACTCTCTTCTTGATTATATCAGCCACCACGAAAAAAATCGAGATTTTTCGGCTTGATATCAGGTTATGGAAAATGAAGCCTGAAATTGAGAATATCTTGCAAAATGCAGCAGAATTGCACATGATAATGCAAAATATTTCCAACTGAAGTCCAGCTAAATATACACAGATACAGACTTGCAAGTATTTCGTCAAACATGTAAAATGATTGGAATTCGTGAGGATCAGTACACCAATATGAATTGAGGTTGAATGAATAGTGAAAATGTTGAATAGAACAATGGGAAAACCTGGTTTTTGCATAATACGTGGCAAAAATCGACACGGTAAAGAAAAAAAATATTATTTTCAAAAAGGAAAAATTTAGCATTTTTTAAAAAAACATCCAAGAAAAAAAGTTTATTCAAGAGCTTTAAAAAATGAAAATAAGCACCTTTTAACAATGTTATGCACCATGTTTTTTTTTAATGTTTGGTTTAAAACGAGTTGCAGTAAAAAAAGTTCTGTTGAGGGGATACAATTTTCCTGTATTTTATACACATCAGGCCATATAATGCACATTGAAATTACCTCTGAGACTTGAATTCCTTCATTATATCCAAGAAATCATTGTATACTTGTGGCTGATTTCCAAACTTATATTTGACTTGATCTAAATAGGACAATGCATCCTCAACTTTTAACCTTTGGAACTGCATTTGATGTCCTTGCATCTGAGTTGTAACATGAGCCTACAACAACAAATATGATTTCACATCACTACATGAAACATCATTGAGAAATTCTTCCAAATAAGTCTTTAACCAAAGAGTTTTAAGAAAGGGAATTTTTTCACACACAAAATTAACAGATTTTATTAGATGTTTCATAGGTAATTTTTTTGAATCTCATTAAGACTCTAATTAACAGTAAAAGAAAATAAGAACTCCGCTTTCTTCTTTTTGAAACTTCATTATATATATACAGTCTGACTTCTATTTAACGAATGTCCATTTTGCACTTTCAGGGGTCTGTCTAGGTTTTTCTGACAGGTACCTATTTTGTGAAAATGTAGACGTAATTTGTGAAAAATTTAAAATTATATTAAAAAATCAACACAATATGGATTTATCGTTCCTTAAGGGATACAAAAATGAAATTTTAAGAAAAGGTATTTTGTGAAACTACCGTTTTCCCTAAAATTGAATTTGTGAAACTGCCGTTTTTCCTAAAGTTGAATTAGTGAAGGTACCACTAAACGGTAGTAAATTCGGCCTGGACAGACCCCTGACTTTTCCCCCCTTAATGGACAAAGAACATTGTGGAAATTACTTCCTAAAATAAGATCAAAATAGCAAAGGGAATCTTCTATTGAACAAACTTTTCTTTGATATCCACTTTCCTTATTTTCCAAAATATTTCGGAACATTTCATACTTGGAGATTCATTTCACGAGGGAAATGACCTTGAATTAGATTTCCGCGTCCACTTAACTTTTAAAGAAAGCAGCAAAATCCATTTCCTTTTTTGTTTGCATTTCATACAGGAATCCATGTCAAAAATCAATTTACGAGAAAGCATAACAGAAATTTCGAAAGCAGGGAACTAAGATGTTACAGATGGTACTATATGGTAACCAGGGGTCTGTTTAGAAGAAATTTGGGTCCGTTAACGGACCCTTCACAAAAGGATTTTTCTTTTAATCGGACCTTTCACAAATTTGTTTATCTTCATTATTGTTTTGTTAATCGAATAAATCCTTTCCAGGGCAGAAAACAAGAAAGATGGATGTAAACGAATTAAGTTTTGTCTTCGGCAGACGATCCTTCCATCAATTCGTCCGAAATGAATATTCTGCTTTCAGCAGTATAGGCTAAATACGAAATATTTCTATCTTACACCTCTAATTTAGAAGCAGCAATTGTTGTTTATTTTTAAAAATTTAATTTTCTTAATTATAATTTTACAGTGTTGAGCATAATCTTGTATGTCTTTACAATTTAAAAACTCATTGAAAAAGTTTTTTTTTGTTGCAATAACGGACCCTATTTGTACTAATTCATAAAAGCGGACCCTGGTTGAGAGAATGTGAGTAATTTTTTCCACAATTACACGAAAAACAGACCTTTCACAAAATGTCTGGACAGACCCCTGGTAACTGAAAGCTGAATTCTTAGTCAGTGCGGAGAACTTGGAAAGTGCAGAGAACGTTCCATTAGAAGAACTGAATTTTTTTTATTTTTTTTTAAAGTACAGCTAAGAGAGAACCACGAAATTAAGAAACATGTGCTGATTAATGATTTTCTCTCTACTGATTCTGAAACTAGAGACACAGAACCATTAACTGAATTGAACACTTTGGACAGTGTGAAAAATAAGCAATAAATTGTGAGAAAGATGAAGATCAAAATGATGAAGAAATCAAAAAACCTTATGTTGAAATGATAAAATCATTTGAAACAATTCAATAATAATTTTGATCAATAAGATAAACGAGTATCAATTGCTTTTTTAACTATGTCTAGTGCTAATGAATTTAAAACCTATTTCGTGTTGTTCAAGAATTTCAGATGGTGATTTTCCACATAGGGAACTTATCGGGATCTAGTGATTGCGTTAAATAGAGGTCAGACTGTAAAAAAAAAAATTTCTACGAGGATACTTTAAGTAAAAAATAAAAAAGTCAGACATCTATTATTCAGTAAGCATGAATAATAATTATTATTAGAAAATCTCACTAAAGGATTCATTTAAAGGTGCATCAGTTGTTTATCCTTGAATAAAGTCAGGGTATCTGCTAATTTTAGATTTCCAAATCCATGACTAATTTCAAGACTTTTTCAAGACTTAACGTTACTATTTTTTCAAACAAAAACACAACAATACATTTAAAAAGCATTATAATAACATCAATTGAAATGATAGGTATAAACAAAACGGTTATATTCTGCATCTTCATATTATTTATAGATTTTAAGTTTGAAAAAGAGTAAAGAAAGAGTTGAAGCAATAAAATAGCTGAAAAAAATACAAAAGCAAATATTTTTTTCCCCTTCTTTTTTTCTACGGAATTATATTTTAAAGGTATTTTTCTTGTTCATAGGAACAGAAAGAAATAATCCTGATTTTTCTGTTCTCATTTTGGAATTTTAAAAATAATTCGCCAATAGCTGGCTTGCTTCAGCTAGAATTTGAAATAGACAAAATAAATAAAAAAATAAAAAGTAAAAAAAATTCTGAAATAACAGAAGTTTAATAGATAATTCGTTTTAGAAATGATTTTTTTTCTTTCATTTTTTGAAAGCAAACAATTATTTTTAAAGAACATGATAAAACAGTTTATATTTTAATAAAATATGACTATGAGTGGGGATTTTGTTACAAATTCAGATATTATGAACACAGTGAAATTAGAGGGGGGAGGGGGGGGATTCCATTTTAAAAATTGGATTTTTCAACAACCTAAATCCATAACAAATTTTATTCAATACCACAATTTATGACTTTCCAGGTGCTCAGATAACCGGTAAAATGTTCTACAGACATTATATTTATAACATAATGTCAGCTTGCATTAAGTTATCACTGGATTCCGTGTAAGAAAGCATAAGCAGAATTTAAGAAATACGAGAGAGAATCAACTAATGAACAGCAATTACAATCAATTTTCATCATTTGATGCAGCAGAAAAAAGAAATTACCTGAGAATTTGATTGAATTGGATGAACTATTTGAGTATTGGTATGAGCCTGAGCTTGAATCGGAAGAGAGTGATGAACAGCAGGAGGCTGACCTAAGTTACCTTGAGATAAAGTGGTAGCTGCAGCCACACGAGCTCTAGATTTAAAAATATAACACAATAGTAAATACTTTTTCTATAGGTTAGAATTAAAATATAATCAATTCAGTATAAAACAGACTTATGAAATTAGACATTCACACCTGAAAATATTGGAATAATGGAGATTTTATAAGTGACATTTTTTAAGCTAGGGGTTAAGTTTTGATTAAATCAAAAAAATCAAATGCTTTTTTTAAAAAAATCATTGATTTAAATCAACTAATTGTTTTAATCTATATATATATTGATTTTAAAAGTTAAAAAAAAGTGTTTTAAATTTTTTTTATACTTTTATTATTTTCTTTTCTTAGTATTAAAATTTAATTTAAATAAAATGCTGCATTAATTAATTTTAGTTAACGAAATTACTTTCTTGGTGTGTGTTAAATTCCAACACATTTGAAATTACATTTTTAAAAATCTTTTGATTCTTGAGATTGAAAGTACAGATTAAAGTAAACATTTAATGCTGTCTTAATATAGATTTGCATAGCTGTAGAAAATAATTAATAAACATGAATTTTTTACAAAAAATAATACAAATATGTTAATTAAAATTCTACCTTTTGAATGAAAAAGCGTGAATTAATATCTACATCATATTTTATTGGTGGAAAATGTATATTTCTGAAGCTTGAGGTTATATTAAAAAGAAATTACCCTAATATGCCAAAAAGAGAAAAAAAAGGGGGGGGGGCTGATGAATTTAGATGTTTTTTTCCTAATATAGTGTCATTCTTCCCCTTCAAAGTCTATTTGATGCAGTAGGGTTATTAACCGGTATTTTTTTCTCATAATATGTTTACAGTATCTTTGACATTATCTGATTTTCTGTAAAGAAATTTTGTGAAAAAAAACTCCAATGAGTACATAGATTTTCTAATTTCTTTTTTAGCTTAACTTATCTATTTTGATATAGAATTAAAAATGAATATTTTAATATAAAAATATATAGATAAAATATTTATTTTTTGATGAATGACTACATTTATAAACACAGTCTGTTACATTTATTTTGTCATTTTAAAAATCAACAGAAAAAAAAAAAAGAAATCACAATTTTAAATTAAAGTTTATGGTTTGCTAACTGAAACTTTGTTTTAATAGTTAAAGTATAGGGTCTGTCCAAGCCAAATTTACTACCGTTTAGCGGTACCTTTACAAATTCAACTTTAGGAAAAATGATAGAATAATCACACAAAATACTTTTTCTTAAAATTTTATTTTTGTGTCTCGTAAGAAACGATAAATCCACATTTTTACTATATTTGTGTTGATTTTTTAAAATAATTTTTAATTTTCACAAAATAGGTACCTCTCAGAAAATCCCAGGAAGATCCCTGAAGTATTCTTTAAATTCTCTATTTCATCTAGTCTTTAAATTTTAATCATGCATTTGTTTCATTTTTAAAAAATTAAATAGCTACATTTTCAAAAAGAGAAAATTAAACACTTTGGAGGGCACATTAGCAAAAGAAATCACAGAATTCATACTTAGGAAGTTGAGATTTATGATGGCGGGGGAACTATTAGTGGAAATGTGTCTAGACTCGAAACCAGTGATCGCTTCAACTTTTAAAAAGTCAACAATCTGATTTACATTTCAATAAAATTTACTTTAGCATTATTTCAAATAATTGTGTACGAAAAACATTGTAGCAAAACAGATCTTATCGAATTCGGGCCTCTTTAAGGATTAAAAATGGGTTCTGTTGAAGTAGGGTCTAAAGTTTACTACAAGCAGCCATATTACAGGGTTAAAATAGTTGCCTAAATAAAAACAAAAACTTTTCAATAATATGAGTAAAATGATTAATTGCCATTCAGGGGTCTGATTAGAAGAAATTTCGGTCTGTTACAAAATATCTTTTCATTAAAACGGACCCTTCACAAAATAATTTATCTTTAAATTGGGCCCTTCACAAATTTATCTTCATTATTGTTTTGTTAATCGAATGAACCCTTCCCAGGAAGGAGTGGGGAAGAAAGACAGATGTAAACGAACTAAATTTTGTCTTCCGCAGGCGCTTCTTCCTTCATTCGTCCGAAATTAATATTCTGCGTTCAGCAGTACAGGCTAAATACCAAATATTTGTATGCTGCATCTCTAATTTAGAAGCTGCAATTGCTGTTCATCTTTGAAAATTAAATTTTTCTTTTATTATAATTTTACAGTGCTGAGCATAATCTTGTATCTATTTACAATTTAAAAACTTCATGAAAAAGTTTTTTGCAATAACTGGATCTTATTTGCACAAATTCATAACACAGGACCCTGGTTGTAAGAATGTGAGTAATTTTTTCACAATTTGACAAAAACCGGATCTTTCACAAAATGTATGGACAGACTCCTGCCATTAACCATGATCCATTTAGTCAAGTTGGAAGAAAATATGATAATTTTTACATAAACGTTAGAGTTCTAGCACTAAATTTTTACATCATAAAATTAGTATATTCGCAGAAAATTAAATATTTTTAACAACTCATTAAAAAAAATATTTTTTCATTAAAAAAAACCTTACTTTTTCTAAAAATTTTTCCCTTTCCTCAATAATTGATTTAGCAAATATAGTCATACATATATGTTTGTAAAAAGTGATTACTCAAATTCGAAATTCACACATCGTACTATCGCATAGAAAATTGTGCAGAATTTCGTAGCAATAACAGTTGTAAAGGAGATAGAGAAACAAAATCTGGAAGGAAAAAAAAAAACGACTTACAATGGAATCTATGCAAATTTAGGCAGTAGAAAATGACTCAAATTTTTTTATTTAACGATAAAAAAAAACTATTCATTGTGTTAAGAAGCTCCAGCGGGTCTCAGGCAGCCAACCCAATTTACGCTACAAAAAAGAAGAAAAAAAAGATCGCTAGCAGTACAGAAAAGTCCTTTTCCTGAAAATAGTTCTTTAAAATTTTTTTAAAGCTTTTTTCAGGCAAAAAAAAGTCGCCATAGTGGCCTCAGGCCAAAAATAGTTGCATTTTAGTCGCCTGTGGCAACCCTGTTTTTCATAATCATACTAATCTAAAATATTGAAGATAAAATGCACTCAATCATTTTTTAAATTATTATAATTAATGTTTTTCTTAGCAAAGTAGGTTAGATGAAATACTTGTCTTAATCTGTATTATCTATGGCAGATTATTACATTTCTCCATGGAAAAATGTCTTTAAGTGATGGCAAAAAACCCCTGTGGCAGAATTTTTTAGAGCTACCTGCGACAGAACTCTCTATCAATAATATTTTTCGGCAAGATACTTTTAATAATAACAAACATATATGTTACGCATTTAAAAAAAACAAAAGAGTTGTATTTACAAATATATTCATATAGCTTTTTTCTTAATTGAACATGTAATAATTTTTTATTCTAATACTATGGACAGGGTTGGCATGGTTTAGGACAGAATGGATCAATCCACGGTTTAAACCGTCCTGTCCAAAACCCTTTTACTCAAATTATGTCACAATTTTATCTGAACAATATTTAAGAGGTAAAATAAACATAGAACTAATAACATATTGATAATTAAAAATACTAGAGAATATTTGTTTTTAAAAGTATAATGTTTTATTAATATTGTTTGACTCTTCAATTTAAACAAAGAAAGATTAATCAGTAATCAAGTTCAATTGGTCCTCTCATTCAATAGTACATAACTGAAGTTAGGCTTTGCCATACAGGTTAAAATATTAGGGACTAAGTGCTTGGTTCGTCATAAACAGGTTTATTTATCTATAGTACTACTATTCAATAATACTTTTATTTCATTCATGTTCAATTCTTTTAGCATAGTGGTGATACATCACCAGTGTCAGTAACTGAAACTAATGTTATGCCCTTCAAAACTGTTAATACATTTTTCAGTTATTTTGTATTTTCAATTTAAACTAACATATTTATATTTAAAAACAATTTTTTTTAAAAAATAGATGTCTTTTTTATCATCCTGTGATGCAGAAATTATAACATTTTTTAAAAAAAAAATATTGTGAAAAATAAAAAATTAATTTTTAAACAAATTTAGTATTTTTTTAAACAAAATAATTATTTTTTAATTTTGCATTATTTATTCTTATACAAAAATATTATATATCAGTATTAAAAGCATGTTTAAAGGATTAGGTATTCACTTTTGTTGTTCAATGAATTGTGGAGCTTCAAAAATTATAAACCTTTTCCTATTATATTATATTATTTTCTTTTAATAAGTTATAGTAAATTGTATAAAAAATATCAAATATTCATTGATAAATGTAATTATTATGTGTACAATGGTTACACCTATAGAATTTTTACCTAGTACCAAAGTTCAAGGTTTCGGACACTTTAAGACAGTAAAACCCACGTGTCCTGCCCAAAACCAGTTTAGGACATCCAAAACTCCAACCCTGACAATGGATGATATTCTCGCATTTTGTTGGAGGGGAAGGGGCACAAATAATGTTCTTTTTCGCATTTTGTAAATAATCATTAAAAATCTGTAGAAGTAATTGCCAAAAAAAGATAGATGGCGAAATCACGAGAAGCAAACTCCTGAAATGTGCTTTTGGTTTCAAGATTAGGTTGTTGTAATAAATAATATCGTGTAAAAACTATGGAGAAATCAATAGAAATATCTGATGGAAATTTTATAGACTTATTGCCTTAAAATGCAATTACTTAAATACATGTTTCGAATTTTTGTAATATGTTGGGATATTTAAAATCCGCATAAAATTCAATATCAATGACTGCCGAAAGCACAATCGAAACATTACAATCAGTGTAAATCAGGGGCGGATTATGCATTAGGCCAGTGTTTCCCCAAAGTGTGGTACGCGTACCCCCAGGGATACAGGAACAGTTTAGTGGGGGTACGCGTTCTTATGCGAAATATCTTGCAACAAACGAAAACTTACAATTACGTATCTTTCTATTGGCCATTTTTTACAGAGTTAACAGTTAATAATTAGGGGTATCAACAGCCAGCTGTGATTTTTAACTTTTGGGCAATTTTTTTACAGTAAAAAATACATTCATTTTGTATTAGTGGTACACAGCGTTACAAAAAATTCAGAAGGAGTACACAAAAGTCAGAAGTTTGGGAAACATAGCATTAGGCCATGGCCTTGGGCCCCCTTAAAAAAATTTTTTTTTGAAAATGAATTTTAAAAAATAAGAAAAACAATGTTTTTTTACAAAAAAAAAATATTACAAATATATAATAAGATACGATAATTTTCTTAGTTCTAATTTAAGAAATAAAGTAAAATTTAATTTATTATTATTTATTTTAATTTTAAATATGCTTTCTGAAAAGATATATAAATACTTTTATATTTGAATAAATAAAAAATATACAAAAAAAAAAATTCATCTAAGGGCCCCAAAAATTTTAATGGCCTAGGGCCCAGTGTACGTTTAATCCGCCCCTGGTGTAAATTGAGCACACCAAAAAGTGTTTATGGGTGATTCTCACGAAATATGACAATTCAATGTCCTTTGCTCCAAGATCTAATGCTATAATACTAAAAGAACTTTTTTTCTAAAAAATTAATAAATAGCATTGCTGTTAGCATTTTAAAATGACTCTGCATTAGCATTGACTGCTTTGTATTATACTTAAAAAATTTAATTGAATATAAAAATTTCATTTTCCTGGCATGTCCCATACAATGTTTCCAATAATAACTAGCTTCGAAACTTCCCATAAATTTTTTCAATATCTAATTTTTTTTATCTCAACCAGTGTAAGCATTTCTAGAATATGTGCAGAGAGTATTATTTACAAAATCTTCGTTTAAAATAATTTTTTCCGTCAATAATTTGTTTGTCCCAAGAAAATCTGTCATTTTCATGGCTACTTTTATTTAGTTTCATATCCAAAATAGATAGAGCCAGCAATCAATAACTTATGTTTATAGATTGATTAGATACCCTCCCATATGTACATGTCTTGTTGCATAAATAAAGAACCAATTTTCTGGTTCAAGATCTATTTCAAAAATTTTTTCAATGTAAGTAGGTTTTTGTGTTGTCATTTTCCTGGCTTTTTGAAATCATTAAAAGCATAAGCTACATACTGTTTGTCTAAGATAGGTACTCTGCCAGACATCCGCCTGGAGCTGTAGCGGTGATTATGGTAACGAGGTATGATTATTTCAAGTAGGGGTGAGGGGTCTCTCTTTAGGACTGGTTTTGGCGAGAGAAAAGGAGACCTCTTCATCGAAGCTACCCTCTCTAAAATGCCCTCTTCTTGTTTCCATAGCACCAGACTTAGTGGCGGCCAGAGTACCTATCTTAGACAAACAGTAGATTTATCTGAGTTATCTTAAGAAATCCTGTTGTTTTCTGGAGAATATAAATGTCTTAGGCCAAAATATAAATATAAAATGGCGAATTTGTCATATATGCTATAAAATGGTGAATTTGTCATTCTCCTGGCTTATGAATGCCAGGACATCGAAGTGCTATCAGAAATTTTTCTAACTGCTAATACTGTAAGAAGGGAAAGCAAATATTAATCTAATACCAAGTTTATGTATGATTGTAATATGCTTGGATCTAATCAAAGTTATTTATTTAATGATTGATTATTATGGACAATTTTATTCTGTACATATCAGCAAAATTTTTTTTTGTTTCTTTCTACAGTGGATAAAAAGAATTAATTTAAGCAATTTATGGTCCATCTAACTGTTAGATTCTAACATAAAGAATTAAGTTGAGTTACTTACTATTAACTTAAAATGACTGTTGTTTAACTTCTATGGTAATATGTCATTTTCCTGGTATTCAAGATTTGGTGAATTTCTATTTTTTTTTCTTCCTCGAGCAAATGTCAATAAACTACACTGCTGTCTGTAAGATATGCGTAACTAAAGAAGCATAAAAAATTTTTTTTAGATTATTTTGAAGACTTTAAATTTGAAGAAATGTTTTGGTCCGAATTGTCATGTTTAAAAAGAATCACCATTATCCAAACACAAGATTCAAATATTATGTGTAAATTTCTGTAGAAAAGAATCTTTTACAAAACTTTTTAAGGAATTATCCGTCTGCTCTGCCTCAATTCTACAACGGAGAACATATTTTGAGTAAAAAGGTTTCGGACAGGAGCGTTCAAACCAGGGATTGTCATAAACCCCAAAAAACTGGTTTTGTTATAAAAAGAGCACTTACTGATAGCCAGAAGGTAAGGAAAACTGTACACCACTCTGCATTTCTGAAGCACTGCTAGTGCCTACAGCATGTACTGTCTCTTGTATGAGTGCTAAAGGCTGCCTAGAAATCAATGGTTTGTTGACACCACGAGGAGAAGAAGAATGATGAAATGTTGTTGTAGGAGGTGTTGAGGGAATGTTGTTATGTCCTAGAATTCCAGGTCTTATATCGAGTTCAGAAAATGACCTGGGTGAAGAGGTGGATGCTGACAATGAACTGAAGACACTGTTGTTGCTGCTCACGTTCGGATTATGATCATCGAGGTGACGACGCATTTTTTCTTACGTACGAAATAATTTATCTGAAACAATTCACAATTATTAGAAAAAAGACAAAATTCAACAAAAATAAGCATCTTTTAAGTACTCAAAAATATTTTTAAGCACTACATATATATTAACAAAATAATTCAGATTTTACATGAGCATGATAAAAAAACTAGTTACTGACAAACTCTTTTTTTTTAATTATATTAGCTATTACAAAATGAAGAGGTTTTTCAGTTCGATATCAGAGGGCGGAAAATGAAGACTGAAATTGAGAATATCTTGCAAGATGCAGCAGAGCTGCACATAAGAGAGCTAGAATCTTACCGAACCCAGCTCAGTAGATGCTCATGTGGACTCGCAAGTATTTTATCAAACCAGTAAAACAATTTGCGCTTTCATACGCTGCCGACTGACGGTAAGCCGAAATGGATCATGGTTGTATGAATTATGAAAACGTTGAACAGAACAACGTGAAAAGCACGCTTTTGCGTATTACAAGAAGAAAATAGACATGGAAAAGAAAAAAAATCCCCTTTATGAAAATGAATAATTAAACACTTTTTAAAAACACCCTAAGAAGAAAGCACTTTTAAGGCCGTTTCAAAAACAAATAAAAATAAGTACATTTAAGCAATTTTTAAAAACACTATGCACCATGGAAAACAACATACAATCTTTTCATTTCTGACCAGCTGTTGAATTTTTCTTTTTGTATCCCAATGTTACTCTTTGCATAAGAGAAACCTTTCTAGAACTATAAATGGCTTTGACAATAAATGACTTTATTTTATTACTTTTGTTTTGCTCTTCGTGCACTAAAAATAAGCTGCAAAAAAAGAAGGGAAAAAAAGGAAATGAGCATCATCCCCAAAAGAGGAAGTTTCTCGCTAACTGGAAACGAATCTCGTAAGAATCAGCTTACAATTTTAGTTAAAGAGAGTCTTGGATATCGTAATAGATAGAACATATATTTTCTATATAACAGTGTTTTTTCGAGCTACCTTGTCTCGAGACAAAAAATTTTCAATCAAATTTGGAGCAATTGCAATTTTTAAAAATAAATGTAGTAACCATTGCCTTTTTGATCGGCAATTCTATCAGCCAACGACAACAGAGCCATCACTGCAGACATCCCAACGCCTTGGCAGTTTCGTAGACACATTTGTTTGCATATGCGACTTTTTTTTGGGGGGGGGGGAAACAAACAACACAATAGCAATTTTCTGCTTCTGGTAAAATCTTTATCCTGAAATCACTTCATAAATTTTTTTCACAGATTTATCATCAAAATCATTTTGAACTTTAACATAGAAATCTGAATTCATCTTTAAACATTAGTTAGCAAAAGTTTCAACTAAATTCGTTTCTCAGGGGGGGGGAGCAATCAAATTATCAGATTTCAATTTCAAAAGCTTTCTAGCAATCAAGGTCTAGTTTACAAGCGGCAATAGCTGACGGGTACAAGAATTCTAAAGATGTGCCCCATTGATTTCCCTTCCGCAGTTGACAATTTCTCCCTGCTTACAGACGAAATCGCAAGAACCTGTGGCGTACCATGTTTTCGGAAACGGTACTCAATATATTATTCACAGACAATACAGGCAGAAAAATAGAACTTCTGCTCCATTTTTTATTTGAAGATAGAAATACTTTCCCCTATGAGTTTAATAGCGTTTGCAAAATAGTCAGTCATGACAGATTTTATTGCTATTTAAGATCAAAAACAAAAAGTTCAATTAAAAAAACAAACATAGCATTGTTTAACAGTACATTTAAAAAGAAACTTAAAATGAATTTTTAGGCAAGGAAGTTTTCACAAATTAATTAATCTATATTACAATTAATCAAATTTTAATGGATCAAAAAAAAAAAAACTTACAATGTTGCAACTCTTTATAAGAAATAATAAAAATTGATGTTAAACTTATAATCTCTATTCATTGCTATTGAGAATTTAGATTTTGAAAGGTTTGTTGCAAAATGTTTCAAATTCCATGGCTACAATACTACCTGATAATTCTATGACAAATCAAATTCCCAGGTACCCAATGATAATCCCACCTATTAGTTTAAATGTACTTACACTTAAGTAATCAAGGCCTCGGTACATGGCTTAATCTTCTGGCAATTGTAGCCAAGCTCACTCTGGGATGCCAATAAAGCAAGTACAGAGGGCAGCCTAAAACAAAATTATTTTTAAAATTAAATGCATGGTAATTGATCATTAGTTCAGGAAGATTAAACCATAGCCACTCTCAAATAAAAACTAAAATACATGTTCAATTGAAGGAATTTGTCTTCTTAGTAAACAACTATTGACAATGTAAGCAAAACATAATTTTACCTTAAACATATATAATTTTGTTAAACATGAAATCAAATGGAAAACATAATCATTGAATTTATAAATACAAAGGGTATTTACCTTGCACTAAGTTTGTCAACATTGCTTAAAACTTCTTAATATTACTTATCATAAAAAAAGGTCAAGATATTACGTTATATACACAAAGAAATCAATCTTTTTTCTTTCAGATGGTTAAATAAAGTATGCAATTTGATTATAGTATTTTTTTGCATGATAAAACATATTGAAACGATTTAATTTTAATATGCAATATTTTTGCACTCATATATATTTTAAAATAAGTCATGCAAGATTATATACGTGCGGATCCCACCAATTCAGCAGCATCTGAATAAGATAAAAAAATTAGAATTTTTTTTTCTTCGAGAAATCTTTTTTTTTTTTTTTTTTAAATATATGGAATAAGTTTTTGATGCAGCGCTGAATCTTAATCAATGTAGTTTTTTTATGGTTAACACCATAGGAATCGTGGCGACACTGTTGCACAATATTAATGAGTTCTTGCAGAAGGATTTCTTTTATTTGCTAAGCAAAAATTATTATTATTATTTTTCGCTTTGAGAATTAAAAAAAATAATAATAATTCCACGATGTCTGATTTATATTATAATAAGTAATTTTCAAAACTATAAAATTTTAGAAAGTTAATTACACAAAATTTCTTTTAGAACCAGAGAATATCACCAATATCAGAATATGTATTCTTTTTTTCATATGTATATTTAAAAAATATAGATATATACTATTTTATTCTGTACATGACTGGCTTTTTCTTAAAAAATAATTTTTGTAAACAGGAAAGGCTTGTTATATGAAACTAGTACACAGTAGAGAACCATTTATCCGGTATCCAGATAACCGGGAAACCAGAAAACCGGGGTAAAACTATAATAAGACCAACCGTTATCTATGGATCAGAGACGTGGACTCCAAACCAGAAACAAGAAAAAATGCTAATTACCTTGGAAAGAAAAATTCTTAGAACTATTTTTGGACCCGTCAAAGAGGGTGATCTGTGGAGGTGATACAATTTTGAAATTGAAAGACTATTTAAAGAAAAAGATATAATCAATTTTGTGAAAGCAAAGAGAATTCAATGGCTAGGACACCTTGAGAGAATGGAGGAAAACAACAGAGGCACTAAGAAGATATTCAAGGGGCAGTGCCAGGGCCAAAGGAAAATTGGAAGGCCGGTCAAAAGATGGTTTGACGAGGTAGAAAAAGACCTTAAGACTCTAAAAGTCCGATACTGGAAATGAAGAGCTAGAGACAGGCGACTTTGGAGGAAAATTGTTAGTGAGGCCATGGTCCAACATGGATTGTAATGCCAGCGAGTTAGTTAGTTAGTTATAATTAGGTATGAAATATATTGCCTAATTTAATCATTGGTTTTGTTTATATTAGTTAATTTAGGAATTGGTAATTATTTTTAAAAAATAAATATGAGAATTTTGTATTTTTTAAGCTTGTTTTTCTTGTCTAAACTTGCAATTTTTTTAAATTCTTCTAGATGTTATTTTTCTTCTATCTTTTTTTTTAAAAATTTAGGAGTACTTTTCTTTTTTCTCTTACTATAAAATGTGTTACACTTTTTGCCTTGTAATTCGGGTTAGATGAAACATCGATTAACGACACTTTTGGTCGATCCGTAAACCGGGAAATTCAGACATTCGGGATAGCGATGGTCCCGAGCATCCCGGATAATTGGTTCTCTACTGTATATATAAAACGTATATATATATATATATATACTTTATGTATGTATAACGTATATATATATATAACGTCATTGCCGAGTGGAAGGATTAAAACAAATCTTAGGCAGGGAAGGAAGGTACAATATTTATTTATTTATTATTAGACAAAGCAGTCATGAAAGTGTGTACGAAAAGTTGTGCACCTCGGTTATATATATGTCAGGGAAAATCTTGCAAAGTAAAATCCGTAAAATGTTTCAATTTAGGGAAAGAGGGAAATCTTAGAAATTACTATTGGTTTATGAAATAGGTCGAGTGATTCCCACGAAGATTAAAGTGAAAAATGTCCTGCTTTTAATTAATGCATAGTTGAGCTAAAAATAGATTTAAGGATAAGATAATTTAAAAGCATGAGAAAGCATTTCGATTAGATTAATAAAATAAAAGGATATTCAGAAAAGAACTAGCATAAAAAGATTAATTGAAGCTTTTTATGTTTATATATTTGCTACTATTAAAAATTATTTTTAGAAGGGTACTAGAGAATTTTCGTAGAAAAGCTCAAAAAAATTCTGCCACAGGGACACCACATATTTACACTGTTTAAAAAATCTTTATATTTTTAATACATTATTAAAATACCAAGGTGACCACTCAAATCTATAAAAAAAAAGAGTCTTGTGTTTTCCGTGTACATATTAAGACAAAATATGGTAAGAGGAAACACGATTACAGTCTGAGCTATATAAGGCTAACTATACTCATTTCAATTAAAGGAAAAACTTCAGCTAGCATACTTAATTTAAAAAGACAAAATAAAATTCCCAGTCTGTAAGGAGTGTTATTTCAGGTGATTTTTCCTGTATTTTCCAGGGTTTCTTGTGGGTATGCCAACACTGAATAAGCAAAATTTCTAATTTTAGTTTTGTTGCTCTTCCAATGATTTTTAAAATCATTATGCATCCTCACGTAGTTTCTAAAAACACAAATTTTTTTATAATTCTTTCTAACGTCTTTGGAGTTTTGAAAAGTGTATTTAAATAAACGTGTTTCAGCATGCTTTGCAAAAATTCTTTTTTCAGCAGTTATTGCTACTTGGCAGGATATCATTACGAATCGAGAGTCTATTTTAAACACTTGAAAATGTAGAATTTTAAGCAAACATGTTACTAAATTAACTGATAAAAAGAATTTAATGCCTAAAACAATGATGTATAGATAACATCAATCACTACCAATTATTGCTGTCAACATGTTAGTCTAAATACTAGCGACCCTTCGTTGGTCGATCTGCTGTGCATCCCTCTGTAGAAGAATTGATTAGTGAGTCTTATAAAAAAATTTTTCAACATTTGCATTGCAATGTTTCAGAGTGAACAGTTATAAAAACTTAAGGAAAACAAATAACTTGCTTTAAATTAATAACTGCATAAAATTGCTAAATTTAAAGAAGCCTATGCATAATAACATATTGTTTTTATTATATTTTTAATTAAAACACTTTTAAAAGTTATTTTGGAACAAATTTTGTCAAAATTAGGTGGTGACAAAAAGGTTGAAAATAATTACAAGAGTCAATAAATTACTTGAAAATAGTTTTTTAATTGAGATTAGGTTGGAAGTTTTTCCTTTTATCTAAGTCCCACTGGGGTCCCAAAACTGTCTGTGTCATCATAAAATATGAATGTTATTTAAAGTTCACTGGAGTAAGCAATGATTATTCTACTTAAGAGAAAGATACACTAGAATGTTAGGTTTTTAAAACCTTTTCCAATCAGAACGAATAGCACACTTGGAAGGGACTACAATACAAATCACTCAGTACCTTTTTTAGATTCTAAATGATGTGTGAGTGAAGTAAGTAAAAGAAGGGTAAAATCTCCTTCATTTACTTCAATGTATAACTCAGCAAGGTCAGATTTATTCTGACACTATACCCCTAATACCTACATAGAGTAACAAATGAACAGAAAGTCCCTAGTAAAGTAACCACCTATTGTATTCTTATCTTTTTAACTAAAATATGGAATTTCCATTCTAACTGGTGGAACATTACTCTAAAATACTTTTTCAGTACCGCTTTTTTATGCAATTAAGCGAGCACTGAAAACAACAAGAATCCGTTTAAATGAGGAAATTTAACATTAATTTCATATATAATGATTTGGGACCGTTAAATTTTATTCGTATAAGCGGGTTATTCGATTATCCGATGTGCAATTATGTGGGAACGACTGTATATGCATTACACACACGGGTACACAAAATGTCAAAAACATACTTATCTTAGATGGAAAGTAAATTCTAATAAAATAAAAATCACGTTATCCAACACACATAACAAAATGAATTAAGAAAAATTAAAAATCAACAGTTAATCTGGATCAAAATTAACTTCCGTGTATTTACGAAAAACAGAATATCCAGCAGTGTTTCTCAAATCCATGTGCATAAAAATGTCACCTTCATTCAATAGTCGCACATTCATTAACGACAACTATCAGAATTGTCAAGAACTTAAAACATACGCTGAAATGACCAGGATTTAACATTCCCTCTCACAAAAACGTTGAATTAGCTTTTTATTATATCTCCGTTAACACAGCAATATGTAAATCCTTCAGGTTTACGGTTTTAAATAACTATCGCGATTTATTTATTTATTATGTATAAATGCATAATACGTGTAGAGCATGTTCACACAGGCATTAGGTTGAAAAGAACGAGATGATTGTGGAACTAATCTCTATCAAGAGAAATACACAGAAATGTCAGCTTCTTTAATAGTTTCCAATAGGTTAAATACAAATTTTAAATTTAGCGTAGACTGAGAAACGTAACAAAATGGTTACTTACTTTGCGAATGACATAAAATCAGCTATAATCGAGGGGCATCAGGGGTCTCCTTTGTAAATACAAACCCTAACCCCACGTTATGGAAGGATGCAAGAGAAGAACATGGCCGCGAAACGCAAACATTGAGAGAAGGGGGAGATACGATAATGAACTTCACCCACAGCTGCTTCGACGCTGAATTTACTTTATTCAAGAACTTTCGTCTACTCAATTTCTTCACATTTTGAAAACGACAATTAGCAAAAACAATTGCAAACAATTTTCAAGACTGAATCGGTACTCAGAAAAATACCATAAAGTCGTTATGACAAGACCGATGTGGCAAGTACGGTTTATATTCCCACCCCTGTCAGAATAGTGGTTTCGTCCCTCTGAATATCATCCTGAATTGCGTTCAGTCGCACGTTAACTTCTACATTTTTCTTTCTCTCTCTCTTTCATCAACCGTCTTCGTCGTTCGGATGCTCAGGGTGGTTAAGTTCGCTGTGCAAGCCATTTTTCTATCATACTTAAAGGTAATTCTAAAATGGAAAATTATCCAAACGATTCGTGGCAAAATAGATAAGAACATCCGCACTCATTTCTTTAATAAGATGAGCCTCTTGATAGACGAAATTATAATTTAGATATTTTTAGAACAATTCATTATAATAACTTTCGATGACTAGCTTTATAAGGGAGAAATTTTTGATGTAATCTCAAATTCACTGTCACTGTTTTCATGCTGTAGAAATTAATGCTAAATTATTATAAAAAGTAATCAAATTCTGGATGTTAGGGACAGTATAAAATCAAATGTTTTAAGATTTTATTGTAAACATAATGATTGTGTGAGTATTAAGTTTATGATTAAACAAAATAGTTAAAAGATACCAACATTCTTTCCAATAAAAAGTGTATATACGAGGCCAAGCTGCATTTAATTAATTTTAATTTTTCTATACGAGAGTTGAAATGTTATAAAAATAAAAAGGAAATAACATGAAAATATTAAAATTAAGAGTTTTAGTCAATATAAAAATTTAATTTTTCCTTAAGTATAAATGAAATATTTTGTTACAATATTTTTAATTATTTGAATTTAAAAGAAAAAATTTTGTAGATATTTGTATGCCTAAATTATTTGCAGAATTTACTCAATTAAAATCATTAAGATAAGAGAGGTCTTTTTCAAACTAGTCAAATCAGGGTTGGAATTCTGAACAACAAATAGAGAAAAAATTATAAAATTAGAATGGCAACAAACAATCTGAAAAAAAAAAAAAATTGTGACCAATGGCAAAAATTTTATTATAATTTTTCCGATATGCCTTATTTTTATACACAAAATATATTACAAAACACATGCAAGGTATCTGCCTGCACACCTGGAAAGTCACGATTTTAATTATATATTTAAAAAAAATCAGGGAAAATCGTGGATTTAGGTTGCCGCAAAATCTAATTTTTAAAATGAAATTACCCCCTCCCACACTTATAGTCATATTTTATTAAAATATAAATTGTTCTTTAAAAATTATGGTTTTCTTTCAAAAAAAGAAAGAACATATCTAGATTATCTTTTAAACGCCCATAATTTCAGAATTTTTTTAAATCTATTTATTAATATTTTTATTTTAACAATTTACAAAAAAAAGAAAGAACATATCTAGAGAGAATTATCTTTTAAACGTACATAATTTCAGAATTTTTTTTTATCTATTTATTATTATTTTTTATTTTATCAATTTACAATTCTAGTTTAGGCTTTTTATATTACACTTACTTTTAAGAAGAAATAAAACAGGTTGAAATAACTACAGATATCTAACTGTATTTGCTTTTGTATTTTTTTTTAAAGTTATTTTATTGCTGCAACTCTTTCTTAACTGTTTTTTAAGTTTAAAATCTGTAAATATGAAGATGCAGATAATAACAGTTTTGGTTATACCTATTATTTCAATAAATGTTATTATAATGCTTTTTTAAATTTATTGTTGGGTTTTGTGGGAGAAAATAGTAATTTCGATAAGGCATGAAAATTCTTGGAATTAGTTATGAATTTGAAAATCTAAAAACCTGCACATACTGTTCCTGTTGTAAACAAGCATTTTTTATAATTTTTTTTTTGTATTAAAAAAAATTGGCCTTATACCACACCTCATTAATTCATTTTCTCTGATTGATAAAATTTCCCAACTTTTCCCTGTTCTATTATAGTCACCCTGAAAAAGACTCATTACAAGATTCAAAATATTTGTTTTACAAGATGAGATGAAATAAAATTAGAGAAATCATTGCTTCTACACCATCCTAAAATAGTTTTTCATCCAAAGCAATTGAGGGGTGGAGCAACAAATAAAAGAAAAAAATGTAAAAAGACCAGGGATTTTCTGGGTTTTTCATGTTTTGTTAAGGTTATTTTCAAAAGAGAGGACAGTACCTTATTTAAATATTAATAATTAAGTTTCATTTTATGAATTGACTTAACATATAGATAATTAATACAAATAAATTGTCTGAAAAAAGTTTCTTCTGACATCACGATACAAAACGTTATATGTACTCACATACATTTGAAACTTAGATTAACACAGGATTACTTTTTATTTATACAGTACAGAACCCGTTATCCGGAAATCAGTAAACCGGAAAACCAAAAAACCGAAACGAAATTCGATAAATTTTCCCACCATTTTTTTTAAAAAATGTTTTTTTCCTCATAAGATTTTAGGATTTTTATTTCTTTTTTGAAAGATTTTTACCTTACCATCATTTTGGAAATAATCATTAGTGTATTACTTAATCGTTTTTTCTTCTTTTTAAGATTATTTCCAAATATTTTTTTTTAGTTGGGTTTAACAATAAAAAGAACGGCTTTTTGTAGCGATTCAGAAAACCGGAAAAATCAGTTATCCGGAATAGCGATGGTCCCGATCGTTCCGGATAATCGGTTCCCTACTGTATTTTAATCTTAAAAAATACTTGAAGAGAATTTTTTTTTTTTTTTTTTTTGCTGCACAGAAAGCGAATCAAAGGCACTGACAATCAATGGCCATACAGACAAATCTAGATTGTATTATAACATTGATCGATTTATAATGTATTTCCTATGTCTGTGTTTATTTTGAATTAAAATCCTTATGAAATAACTTTTGTTGTAGTATGATTTATGCTCAAATTATTCCGTTTTTTTTTTATACGAAACCTATACATTTTTCTTCATGATACTTTTCAGATAGTTGTTAGTTTTTTCACCATAGGTTCATTTTTTAAGGCTGGACTACGAATATATTTCAATATTCTCTTTAACATAACAAAGGACAAAAAAGAAATCAATTTTAGAAAAAAAAAAACCCAGTAAAACACACTTTAGGGTGGGTTTTACACAGTAAAACCAGCCCAGGTTTTTCTGGGTTGGTGGGTTTTTGCAACCTTGAAAAAGACCTTTAATAATATTATTAGACAAATAATGTAAATTTGTAGAATTATTACACAATTAAGTAAAATTAATATTAGAGAGGTTATCACTTCTAGACAAGGCAAATAGAAAACTCTATTCAATAAACAAATGTTTTTATGAAACGCCGATTTTTCATTAACCAGCTTATACAGAACAGGGGATGAACAAAATTATAGAAACGCTTCAATACTACTTAAATCATTTTTTCATATTTCTAAAAAAATTATTTCAAATCTTTAAAAATTATTAAGTCATGTGATTTCTCATACATATTGAAAAAGCCGAGAGGTTTAAGGGAGCATCCATAAAATGCAGAAAAAAGTATTTTTGAACACCCTATACCAAAATATATAGCATTGAACTTCTATGAATTACTATAGTTATATCGATTCAGAACAAAATTAGGGAAGAAATACTTTTTTTTAAATGTTTTTCTGCATGCACAGTATGAAAGGAATACTGTAAGTGCTCATATCAGGTGCAATTTTTGAAGACTTTTTGTGATTAAAAATTACTCTTAAAAATTTTGGTTGATTTAAATAAATATTTCTGCAGTTATGGTAATAAATGTAAAGCCAAAAAGTTAGCTTTTTATTAAAATGTCTCCATCTTTTCGGATATTTAAGATAGGTTTACAAAATTAAGAGCAGTTACTGCATATGTTAACCAAAGTAATTGATATAAGTTACATACTTATTGCTATATTTCTTTGGTGCAAAAACATTTTTTGTTCATAATTTATTGAGAATCTCTTAAAAAGCTTTAAATGTGTATGAGAAATCCTAAAACACCTCTAAAGTTATACACTCTAAATCTCTGAATATTTCTTGAGAATAGAATTAGAATTAATTTTGTCCTGTCTCCGTTTCAGTTTATAATTTATATAGCTGTCATTTAGGAACTATTTGATCTAGAAAGCCGAATTGCGTAATTTTTCCAGTTTTTAATAGTATTTAATAAAAATATATGACAAAGCTAAATTACTTTTCAAAATACAAAATTCTACATTTTTCTGTAAAAATGTATATTTTATTGAACTCCAGTTTTAGCCAATTTTCAAGATGATACTATGATATAGAAAAAAATTATTTCTAGTTACAAAACGTGCAGTAAAAACCACATTACCTCCTATTTTCAGAACAAACATAATAAAAATTTGTCATATTCAAATATAGCATGTTGTTTAAACTAGGAAGGAAAAATTCTTTTCTTCATGGGATACCATTATGAAAATTGGCATCAACATAAAAATATTTTCAAACAAATTTAAATTTTGAGTTTGTTTAAAATTAATTTTTTAACAACTTGAATATGTATAACTCGAAAACAGATTGTGCAAAAAAATGTCTATCTTAGTGTCTTAAACGTTGGAAACATGTTCAATCATGTTAAAATCTAAATTCTTGACATGTAAAAAAAAAATATTGCTTAATTTGATGTGGAATTATCAATTTCATACTTTGTGAAATTAGCTTTAGACTAATAAATGTGTGAAACTGTGGATTATTATTTTTTTTTTTAAAAAAAGGGTAAACAAAGGGTATTGTAATCCGCCACTATAAAAATTTTGTTTCAAAAGACTTTATCTGACAACTTTAAATAAAAGACATCATTCAATGTTTTCAAATAAAAAATTAAGATCAGAAATAATTTTAAAAACTACTGCAATTTGTACTACATCTTGGAAATAGATTCCTCAATATAAAAATAGATCACAGCCAATTTTAGAGAAAATTTACTTCAAAACTAAATAATCAACATACTTAAAAATTAATGCAAAAACAAACGAAGGATAAGAATCAAAAGTAAGATAAGTAATTTGGTTACTTTCGATTTTGCAAAAAAAAAAAAAAAAAAAAAAAAAAAAAAAAAAAAAAAAAAAAAAAAANCTTAAAAAAGGAAAAAAAAAAAAAAAAAAAACAAAAACAATGT